AATTTACATTTGAAGTTCTGATGTTAAAGACATTTAGAGCAATATTTTACATTCATTTCAGTTCAGATTTCTAAAGACAGCAATTGTGTATATACAAACAGGCAGGGTGAATTGAATTGACTTCTATCTCACTCTCGTAATGAAAATTCTAATTCTAAGACCGTGCCTGCTGAGCAGTTGGCTGAAGGCTTTATTCCTGTTTGCCAGCTCAATCTAAATACACTTCCAGTAGGACTGCCAAGTGTTCAGTTTGAAAACTTTCTTGTTAAGCAGCCTATCAGAATACTGTTCAAGAATGCATGCTCACATTTAGCTTCTTAGCATCTTCCTGCTGAGCAGAATCTAAGATTAAAAAACTGGACTAAAGGAATCAAATCTTTGCTGTATTTAGGTGACCTTCAGTTTGCCTGTGTCCTTGCAGAAACAGAGAGCTGAAGGGAGTTGTCTCTGCTGATGACCCAAAACAACCTCAGTTTGAGTAGTGAGCCTGTAGTGACTGACTGGATCAGCTCTTTGTCATTTGCTTCCTGCAAATGACAGATGGGTCATGCCAGCATTTTCTCTCTTCTCAGAATCAGAAATCAGGTGTGTCTCAGTAACAGGTGATTGCATCCACGTTTGGAGATGTCCTTCTGCTTCCTTGCATGTTGTTCTTACATTTCCTCGCCCAGCGCACACGGAAGAGCCCCCGGTATTCTGGCCTAAAGATAATGAAGGTGCTGCAGGAGATCCTACAAGGCCACTGCTACACAAAAATTGGGATGGAGGTTGATGTCAGTGTCTCCAGCTCTGCATAATGGGATGAGGTGACAGCATTCAGCAGGCCCTTGTGTGATCCCAAGATCACGTAAGAACAGACAGGCTGTAGGGACAGGTCCATAGATAACAGCACCCAGTGCAGAGCAAGTTGTAAAGTCCAGCTCTCCCCAGCCAGCCTGGACCTGAACACTGTTCTTGTGCAACCCAAACTGAGATCTCACACCACATTTTCCCAGCTTGTGAGGCACACAGGCTGTCACTTGGCACGAGGGTCCCAGCGTGTCTTTTATGTGTAGAGCTTGGCAAACGGACATTTCCCTTGAACCCTTCTTGGTCACTCAGTAATTTCTGTTCTCGCTGCTAATGCAGGGGAAGCATTGTTCCCAGTGGATATTTTCTCCATCAGCCAAAGCACTTGGAAATGTCTGACTGATTAATAGCTGGTGCCTCCAAAAGAATCCACACGAGACTTGCAGGTCCACTTTGTGGGCTAGTAGATATGTGCTGTAAGATAAGGATGAATGCCATTTACCTTTACAGAACTTATGGCTATATAGTAACCACAAGTCTCCCTCTTCCCCAAAGTCTGCACGCTAGCTGCACTTGCATCTGATCCTGTGAGGGTCTTCAGGAATCCCCTGCCTTGTCTCTGCTCTCTGCAGGACATTTAGGGTTCTTCTCAGACACACAGGACAATAATTCATGTTTGAGCACTTCTCTGAGCCCCTCAAAGCAAATGGGGTTTCCATGCTTGATTCTGTTGGCATAAGGGGGACCAGGGAGCAGGAGGGCTGTGTCAGTACCGAGACCAGAGGTGTGGAATGAACTATAACTGAGTCAGGAGAGGGAGAGGCACACTGAGCTGGCAATGAATCACTCTGCCCCAGACCCAGTCAGAGCTTAGTTCCCTACAAAGAAGTAATCTCTTGTGGGTTTACTGTTTTCACAAGTTTGTTCACATTAATATAGATGCTTGTATAAATGTTCTACCCAGCGTACAGACTGCTCATTGCTCACAGTTAAGGCCGACTGTAAAATAAGAAACTCCTGCATTTTCCATGGAGCTGGCCATAAGTTTTTGTTACGTTTCTTGGCTTTCAGAAAAGTCAAATTCTTCTTCCGCAGTTCAGGAGAAGATGGAAATTCTTCTAACTCATTGCATCGCTGGAGGCCAGGTATCCAATATACAAATATTTGGGGAGCAGTTAACATCGCGGTCAAGCCACTTAATTAAACGAGCAATCAAGATTACAGTCTGGGCATAGTTAATGAATAGGTCTGTAATTTGTTTTTAACAGGAACTAAGGTTTTGCCTGCCTTCAAGTGGGTAGGTTGTTTTAACTAACGTTCTCTGGATGCCTGCAGACCTCCTTGTCATGCTAAGGAAGCTGGAGAAGAGCAGAGGGAAACTCCAGTTACACTGCCAGTTGAAACCTGGTGGTGGCTGTGGGGACATAATAGACCCACTGTTTTAAGGGTGTGAATGGGACTTGTAAATGCTCTGAAAAAAAAGGGCAGATCTGTGGCTTTTTAAATGGGCTACTCCATCTATTGACATCTGCAGTGGAATCCCAGGCACGAGGAGGATGTTGTTGAAGATGAGATACCAGTCTGGAGGGATCTGGAAATACCTAAGCAAATGCAGAGCGTGGGATAGAGCAGCCCCATGTGTTGGGCCAGGCTGGGAGCAGCTCTGTAAGCATTGCAAGTGCCTGTGGTCAGCAAACTGCAAGGGCCAGGTGTGCAAACAGCATTCCACTGAGCCAGCCATCTCACAACCTGGGGAGCCAAGCCTATTTGGAATTGACCCCATGGAAGTATCTCCAAGGGAAAAGGCTTGCTAGCCTGCAGTGTTCATCACGCCCAATGTTTCCAGTGGAGTGACAGCAAATTCTCAGCCCAGTGCTGTCCTCAGGGCTCTCTGTGGTGAAGGGATGTGGTGGTCATGTGGTAGGAGGTAGGTCCTGGGAAATTCTCTGAGCTCTGAGCAGCGTTTTTCCCTTCCAGAATCACTGAGGTGTGCCATTTTCCAGACAGCCACCTTGGGCTGCCCAGGTTCCAGGGCATGTATTCTTCATGGATGTATTGAGACGATAGGAAAGCTGGGCATGATGGGCAAACAGAGACCTCTTTTATTTCATTTTTATTTTTTCTCTTCTTCCCACCATGCAGGGAACGTGCACATTGCTGCAAATCAGGTGCAACTCAGCAGCCTGATGCAACAAAACCACACCTCACTGTGTCACTGTCCTGCACTGGGGCACAAACGGGGACACACATTCACCCTGCAAGCTATTTAGCTGCATGGGATCAAAGTTAGAGTCACACCAGGAGGGTTTCAAAGTTTCAACACCACTTTGTACCAGTTCATTCTTGACCCTTTCATGGTTGTGGCCCTTCTACCTGCCCAGCCCTCCCCCAAAAAAAACACGGCTCAGGTCACACTGGGGCCACAGAGCATCCTTACCAATGCCATGTCCACAACCTTGTCACAGCCCTCTCCTGAGCAGCACTGAGGTGATGAACACTCCCATGCCAGCAGCACGCGGCTGTTTTCTCCGGTGCTGGTTTTCAGCAAGGTTAGAATAACGCTGTGTGGGAGAGGTGTCTCAGCAAACTGGGTGGGGACAGAAAGAAACCGTGCATCAGGTGAGGCAGTGCAGACTGTTGTGAGCTGGTGTGTGGCAGGGAAGGGAGAAGCCAAAGCAGAAAGAACGAGGAGGAGAAATGGGAGCCCTGCCAAGACACAGGCCTGCAAATGTGATGGCCACAAGGGACATGGATGTTAAGGGACAGGCAAACACTGCTTGTTGCACAGGTGCTGGCCACACCTGAGTGCAGAAGGAAGACAGAGATACATGATCCCAGGATCCAGAGTATGACTGCAAATGTCTGCCTTTGTAAACAGACCCAAGCAGAAAACATGCTTGTGTTTCAATGTTAAATTCAGGGGCATTAATAGAACCAGGGCAAACCTGGCCACCAACACCCTCTCACACGCCCCACGATGATGTGAGGTTGAAACCAGTTTCAAAAGGTAGATGTTTAACTTCAGAACCATGTGCCATTGTCCAAAGAGGCTGTGAGTTCCCTCCCTGCTCTCAAAAGGGGTTTCTTTTTCCACCTCTGTTGCAATGAGTTTGCTGTTGTCACAGTAACAAAGGCAAAACAAGTCAGGCTGGTTTTCAGCAAGAAAAATAAACGACAATTAAATGTTTTCCTTACATTACAATTAAAAACTTAAACTCAAACCTGTGATCACAGGTCAAAAGTTCCCCCAGATCTGAAGCAACAGAGGTACCTCCAAGTCAATTTTTGTTTCCCTTTTGTTCTCCAGTCCTTGTTATTATCCAGGAACTTCAGACTCAAAATGGAAACATTTTTAGCCCCACAAGCTGGAAGGGATAATTTGGTACATGTAAAAAGATCCCTTCCTGAGTCTAAACCCCATTTAAATTAATTCATTGTCATCGTTTAACACCAGCCAGCAACTAAGCTCCGAACAGCCACTCACTCATTCCCCACAGTGGGGTGGGATGGGATGGGATGGGGGAGAGAATCGTCAGGGTAAAAGTTAGAAAACCCATGAATTAAGGTACCAATGGTTTAGTAAGTAAAGCAAAAGCCCTGCACACAAGCAAAGCAAAACAAGGAATTAATTCACTTCCCATGGGCAGGCCATCTTCAGGAAAGCAGGGCTCCATCACACGTGTTTGAGAAGACAGATGCCATAACTCCAAATGTCCCATCTTCCTCCGTCTTCCCCCAGCTTAACATATGGGGCATGATGCCACATGGCATGGAATATCCCTTTGGTCAGTCAGGGTCAGCTGTCCCAGCTCTGTCCCCTCCCAACTCCTTGTGCACCCCCAGCCTCTGCGCTGGTGGGGTGGGGTGAGAAGCATAAAAGGCCTAAACACTGTGACTGCTCAGCAATAATGAAAACATCCCTGAACACTGTTTCCAGCAAAAATGCAAAACAGCCCTGTGCTAGCTCCTGAGAAGAAAAACATCCCAGCCAAAACCAGCACACTCAAGTTAACATTCACTGAGATTAACCTGAGTTAACCTGGGCCCCACAGGCTCCCGTTGACAGAAAAGCCCTCTCAATCCTGTGCGAGTTTATGCCTCCTCCTTAGGCATTGCCCTGTTAGAGTGCAGTGCTCCTGAGGCTGTACAGGGCTGTGTACCTGTGTGCAGCAAAGGGAAGAACAGCAGAAATGACTCCTCTGTTTTCAGAATCACAGCAAACCCATCTTTATTAGCAACATAGTGCTACTGTAAGAAAGAGTAGCCATTCACCAAAGACATGAATTGATTGCTTATTCAAGATGTCATTCTAATCATCCACACAATTCTCCTACAGTCTACTGCACACCTTCCAAAGCTGTATGTTGTAGGGGGATCAAATACAGTGGCAATGCCTGGCAATATTGCAATTATTCAATATTACCCAATTCCTCAAAATTCAGCAGTACCCTTCAGGGGTTGCAACAATTCATACTGCTCCCAAGGCAAGTGAAATATTGTCCTCATTTCTCGTCACAAGTCAGAGAAGGCATTTTCAGGAACTACATGAAAATATTAATTTGGTACAGCAGGTTTAGGGAAAGACACAGACTTAAATGGACAGGCAGCACTGAAGATGACACAGTTTCATACTCATGACCCTTAGTGCTGGTTGTCCAGATTCCCCTGATTGCTGTAAAAACCCTGGAGGCATAAAGGTGCAGTTCAGGGAGATTTTAGCACTTTGAATCCAACTATACTATGTTTTTTAAAGCTGGATTTTTATTTATTTATTTATTTGTTTATTTATTTATTTATTTATTTATTTATTTATTTTGGGCCCCAGTTATCAGCATCAGACTGTACCCAACCCAGAAGAGACTGAAGGGAAACAGATTGTGCCAGGATATACCTTTCTTTGGCAGGCTCCTTGTCCCCATTGCCAAGATCCCACATAAAAAGCCACTTGTTTATAATATTTACATTAAAAAAAACCCCAAAACCTAAAGCCAGCCTGGAAAACTGCGATCATTGTTCTTGAGGTGACCACAGGACACACTTCCGAGGGGAGGTTCTCAGGATGATTTCCATCGCAGGAGCGAGCACACCTTGTGGATCACGTAAACCAGGGTAGCTACGAATGCAAACACCTGTGACAGGAAAACACATCAGCCAGTTGGCTCCCTGCCACATGTTATGAGTTTCAGCACTGAGCAAACACCTCATGGTGTCTCTTGCACGTTTGGAGACATCAGTGCCCAGCAGGGCTGCAACTCATTTCTCTCCCCCCTCCCTGGTGCAAATAAGGATTTGCACTTGAGGCCACTCCACGGTCACCTCCTGACCTTCCTTGCCCTGCCTTGCCAGGCACTCACCACAGCAGCAATGTTCTCCCTGTAGATGTGTGGACTGAACAAGTAGGCGGTAACGTAAGTCGAGTAGGCTTCCAACACAGAAGCACTGAGGTAGAACAGAGATGCTGTCCCCTGGCAGATGGCATCCTAAAAAACAAGGGTCACACGGTCGTTTCCAAGGAGGGATCACATTGCAAAGGGGGAAAAAAAGGGAACCCATGCAAGCAAGCCCCAAGACTGGCCATTATTATTATAGCAGCACTCTCCTTTGCAGGAGACAGTTGTCTTCCGGGGAGGGAGAGGACCAAAGGTTTGTTACATCCACTTACCAAGGTGACCCAGGAGCTGCTGCCCCCGTGGGCCCCACAAAAGTAGAGGCACAGGAGGGTAGTGGACATGACGAAGCAGAACACGGAGACAAACATCACCCAGCCTTGCAGCATGGGTATTGGGACCCTTGAGGATGCCACCAGGATCCAGACAAGGCCTCCAAAGATCTGCAAGTGAAAGTGGGAGATAGGGTGAGCATGGGGTGAAATGACTGATCCAGAGCAGAGAGTGCCATGCATGCCTCTGGCACTAGCACTGCACATGTCAATAGTTCTTCCCAGCCTCCACTTGAAACTGGGTGTATCTCTGGGAGCACCTGCCACTGATCTTGACCCAAAAAAGTCTTCTCTGTAGCCCTGCCTCCTGGTGTCACTGCCATTCACACCCTCCCTACATCAGTGTGCTCAGAGGGCTGGTTCAGACACTTCTGAAAGCTGGACAGGGAGGCTGATTTCAGAAAGGCGTGTTTGCTTCACACCCAGCGTGTCAGATCCCTGACAGGAGCAGTGTCAAGCCCAGTTCCTCTGCACAAACAGCACAGGCACATGGTCCTCACAAAGGCCACAGGCAAATGTCACCCTGAAAGAAGAGAGAACATGTTTAAGAGAGGTAATGTGGCCAGTATTACGCTCTGAGAGAGGAGAAATAAGCTTGAGGCTCACAGCTCCTTCTGGAAAGGAGAGCTTTGTTGTGGTAGTTTTGCAATATATAAAAGGATACACAAGTTTTTAATGTTGTTTAAGTAAACATGCTTTCAAAATGGCTTTTACAGTCTTTTTGTAAACTCACCTTTCTTCTTCCCCAGGTTCCTCAGTCTTATCTATACTTTTGGAATGTTCTAAGAGATAACTGAGAGCTTATCTATTGGTTGTTAACCCCTTATTGTCATTGGTTATAGTAAGACCTCCTGGGACCCCCAATGGTCACTTTGTAATCCCCCCAAGAGCTATTTAAGTCACTACCCAGAACAATAAACTCTCTCTGCCTCTCTCCTTGCTGCTGCTGTCCTGTGGTCTCTGCTGGGCTCATGGGGTCCACGTGGTGGGGGGAAGGGGGAGGGCACGCTCCCCTCCAGGACTAGAGGTAAAAGGAAAAGACCTCTAGCCTGGAGTCCCTCTCCCTATCCACCCTCAGCCATCACAGAGCTTGTGTTGCTACTCCAGCTGTTCGGGTTGTCCTTCATTGGCTCCATCAGAGCTGAGCGAGGTACCAGCTGCTGCTGTGGGAGCAGGTGGGGCCCCAGTCTTCTCAGCCAGCCTTGGGAGTTTGCCATGGGTTTTCTGGTGGGGTGGGGAACACAAAGACAGCAGGGTCTAGGCTCCATCCATTCTCCATTCTCCACCAGCAACAGTGATGTTCACTGTTGTGGAATGCCTGCACCGCGAGTGGTGCCTTTGCACTAAAATACTCTCAGTAGCTTTTCTGTGCTACAAATCAGGCCAGATGTTCCTTGAGCCTCTGCAAAGTTTAGTCTGTTATGAAGAGCTCCTCGGCTGAACCCACACTGTGCCGCTGTGGGGACCTCTCCCTCATCACCAGCTGCCTTGGATTTGCAGGCAGATCTTCAGAGGTAGGAGAGCCTTAACGACTCCAAGAGCATTCTGATTGCCGGCCTTTGTCAGCATCCAAGTGACAACTCACGGCATTTCCATTTCCTTGGAGACATTTTGCAAGGGGAAAGAAAGTTTCTGATTTGTTATGCCCAGAAAATGTCACGTCATTTGTGTCACTCCACATTTGTAGGAAAGTTCATTGGTTCCATTATGCAAATTGATACATTACATCAATTATATGGTTGAGACCTTGCAAACAGCTGAGTGAAAATAGGTCTTCCAAAGTGCTGCTGGTTTGGTGCCTCTTGTAACAACCAAAGACTGACACTTGAACACTAATCCAGTCCCTTTAGTACCTCATGTGGTGACACAATGAGCCTATTGTAGCTAAAGATCCTGGGGAAAACCTTAGATCTGCTCCATTAAAATCAAAACCAAATTGAGCGAGATAGGCAGTTCGGGGAAGAAGTATCACTTACCACTTCCTACCACTCACCATCTCTCCTTTCTGCAGGATGTGGTTACTCACTCAGGCAAGTATGTTTGACATGGTTTGATTACTGATGTTGGTTTTATGGTGCTGCTGTTCAGCACACTTGTAAAAATGAGGGAAGAATTGAGGCTTTCAGTAATAACCCACATCAGGTTGGGGACAGCAGTCTAAGAAAAAACTTATCTTTCAAAAAGCCTTTTATGAAGCAAATGTATCTTTTTTCAGCTTGTTTCAGATGAAACCACATAGGTCTGCCTATCCATATATGGAGAGAATTCTTCAAATAAGATAGATTACAGGAAGTCAACTGAGCCTCACAGAATAAAAATGGTAGTTCTTAATCAGCACATGCAGGTGTGGCAATCATCTGAGCTGCAGGCAGGATCTTCTGGAAATTTCACAACTGTCTTAGCATTTGAAATGTCTTGTTTTTGGTTTTGTTGGTTTTTTTTATCCCTCTGTGATTCAAGGCAGCCACCTCCTTTGTACATGGAAGAGTTCATACAGCTGCACAGCAGAGAGTCACACACATCCTGGAGATGGAGATCCAGTTATACAGCATTCCTCCTTCCTGGGTGTTTCCTGAGCCTTCAGGATGCACATTTCCAGATCTTACCCAAACCAAAGGATAGGGTGCTCATTTAAGCAAGCTGCCTTGCCAGATCCCCTGGAGTCAGGAATTACAAACAATTCAAGGGGAACAAGCATGCTGAGGCCAACAGCAAGCCCAGTACCAGGACTAACACAACTCAGTGGCAGGGGTGGCTGGCAAGTGTCTGCCCAGCCAAACCCTCCACAGGGACTTAAAACCCTCCTTCATGTAGCTGCAAGAAACCTGCACCTTGTTCTCAGAGCCCAGGCACAGAGACCAAGTCTCCAGAGCATAACTGGAAGAGCTGAAGCAAAGCCTTTCCCTACATCCTCTTTGCTGGATTGCTGCCACTGGGAGAATGAAGTAAATGCTGTAAATCCCAAGAGTGTGGACCAAGTTGTGTGACAGGAAAGAATTTCGTCCCAGACAGGAAAGTTGAAGTTTTCAGCACTAAATCATCCGAATGCCATCCTACTATGCTCAGCCAAAGCCTTCAGTGCTAGGTGGGAGTGCTCAGGCTTTGGAAAAAGCCACTCCAACTCTCGTGAGAAGATCAGGTTTCACGAGTGGGGCAGAGGACACAGGAAAAAGGTTATCCTTGAAAATGTCTATCTTTGGGTCAGTGGTCATAGCAACTGCTTTTAATCACTTGTGCCAAATCCATTAAGATTATAATCTCCTGCTCAATGAAATTACAATGTGGAAAGAAGTTACAAGCTGTTTGCTCACCCTTGGCCCACCCACACACCCAGGCCCAGCACTCTGCACCTCCAGCTCAGGAATGTTGCAGCTGAGCAGGAGACCTTCCGTAGACCAAGTTCTTTGCTGCTGCAAACAACTGCCTCGACTTGCCTTAATCCCCTGCTTTAAGCAAGCGGTTTATCCTTTGTCTGTATTATCTGCCAAAATCATCTTCTAATTAAATAATTAGCTCCATATGTAAACCTGGTTTAAATACACCAGCAACCTCCTCAACTTTTTTTTTTAGGCAGGAATTCACCAAAGGTTTTCACATGCACCAAAAAAATCCCATTGCAGACTAAAGGAGAGCTTCACAACCCCGGCTCAAGCCCTGCAGTTTTCTCTGGGGGAACCAGACACCAGGAGCTGGTGTGGGTCCTGAGCCCACGTGCCATGGGTCAAGTCTCATCCCTCAGACACCCTGCAGCATGACATGTGCTGGGTGCCCCACAAGCAGCAACTGCCCTCCTCCAGAGAAAAGCCAGCACTCACGATTTCAGGAATGAAGAGAACATCTGGGAACGTCGTCAGGACGGCCAGGCCGCTGGGCAAAGAGCTGGTGGAAGTTGCTGAGGACATTGCAAGCCTCTCCCACGGTGATTGTCAGCCACTCTGTCCAAATGCTAAATGCAGCCTCCTTGCCTCTCTCTCTATCCCTCTCTCTTCCTCCTTCTCTACCCTTCTTCCTGCTCTCTCCTCTTCCCTTCCTGCTGACAGATGAGGACGGCTGTGAGTGGCACAGGTGTGGCCAAACCCTGTGACCAGGGCTGACAGGAGTCACATGACAGGTTTTCAGGAGATGGGGGCAGCCCTGAGGCATTCGGAGCAAAGTTTTCTCCAGGCAAGTTGAGCACGCAAGGCGAGTCCCTGGGCAGTAGTGAGTGGCACGAGCTGATATCTGAGGGCAGTGGGAAAGATTTGCACCCATCTGCCTGTGCCCATCTGCCTCTCGTCCCCTTTTTGTTTGCACAGTAAGTCATAGAATCGTAGAATAGACTGGGTTGGAAGAGACCTCCAAGATGACATCAAGTCCAAGCCATGTCAGTTTGTCCCTCATGCACACGAGCTGACTGCAGCAGCGGCCCCAAGGACACGACAGCTACAGGAAACAGCAGGGGCCAGGAAATGTCTCACAGATGGAGATGCAAGACAAAGGACAACCGAACTGCGGGGTGAACCACTTCCATCGCCTCAGAAGGAGACTGGATATGCCAAGGTAACACAAATGGCCTAAAAGTAATGAGACTTCACAAGCCTTTTTCTTCTTCTTCTTCTTCTTCTTCTTCTTTTTCGTCTGTGATCCATGGGAGCAAGTCATTCTTCTTCTCCTTCATACGGAATGTTTTCTCCAGAAATCAAGGCCGAAAACATGGAACACCAGGAAAAGAAAAGGAGCAGTGTAGCAGTGCACGCTGCTGTGGAGCAGTGACCCCTGGAAGCAGTGCCCACTTCAGCCAGGCCCAGTATATGCTGCTTGCCCTTTCACAGCTCCTTCCTGATTTTCCGCCTCTCCAGTGAGATTCCATGTGCCCTAAGGTGGTATAGGTATACATATGTATAAAAACTTACATATGAAGCAGACCTACAAACCAGTCAGCAAAACAGGGAGAGCAGAAAGCAGTGGGGAATGCAGGATGCAGAGCTGCACAGAGACAACTCCAGAGGGGGTCTATCTGTCTCTGTAATGGGCAGAGATGAAGCTACGTAGCTCTCCTGTTCCTGGGAGCACAGGACTGGCAGTGGAGCACCTGAGGAGTGAACAACTGTGTTATGAGAGGCAAAGGCACCAGTGCTGTTCAGTTCAGGAGGGATGAGTAAACTCTGAGGAACCCATTCTTTGTCTTATTTACAAAATTTTGGTGATGGATTGAGAAAAGTAACACTGGTTTTAGTGTTGAAGACTGCTGACCCAACTCTCTTAAATTAGATCCATCACGAGAGTGTTCTTCCCCTGACTGAGGTGGGCATCACCAGGGACGTGTAAGACCCTGGTAGGAAAGTGAGAGACAAGAAGTTTTGAGCAGAAGAAACTGAAGAACTGGTAACATCTAATTCAAATGCTGAGCAGGCAGGACAACACAGAATCTCGTTGTAGGACTCACAGTCAACCCCTTCATAGTATAAAAGACTGATCTCACTATTTTACTAGCGGGGATTTCCAGCATATCTCCCTTATGGACATGAAGATCCTTCCCTTGGGTAGGGGTGCTCATCAGGGATGCTTCTCAAGGCTGAGTGAAAATCTGTCCACAGTATGGGTGGTAATGGGGTATGGGTATGTATATGGGTATGGGTGAGTAATATCAATCTTTGTTTGATACTTATTAAGCTATCTATGACATTATTGATGAATAAATAGTGCACTATATTAGTAGTTTGATTGTGTAGTAAATGATTCTGATAAAAGCCTTTTGCCTTTTTGCCACTTTTGCATTTTTATCTTTTTACATTTTTATCTAATCATTATCGTCATCAATTTAAATAAAGCAGTCGAGATTTATAAAGGTACAATTACACCTATAAAGCCTTTCTAACCCTTGTGACTCATTGGGTGGGTTTCTCTGACAAACTCTGTTATGAAGCATCCGTTCAGTCCATGACACATGGCTTCTCCTGTTTTGTTTCATGTTTTCCTCATAGAGGAGGCCAGAACAGAAACTGGGTACGTCCAGGGATTGCTTGAATGCTTAAGGTGCCAGGAGAGAAAGCTCTATCTGACATTTACCTCTCATGGTCAGCCTGTCATCTGCACCTGGAACACTGGAATGAGGTGCTTTTCATTCCCATGTTAATGCTCTGTCATTTTCTGTCAGGAGCCCACCACTGAAATTTGGAATCAGCCACCTAAAAAAAAAAAAAAAAAAAAAAAAAAAGAAAAGGATAACATTATCTTTCCCGAGGAAGAAAAGAGCCAAACCCAGTGTTGGTAGTGCAGATGACAGGGTTTCCTAGGGATGCGTAGGGGAGTAAGAGCTTTCTGTCCTGGAAAGTTTTGTCTGACAGAGATCTCTGGGCACATCGTTTTGGAACTGGTATCCAAATATTGGAGGTGGGATCCCGAAAGACAATGACAGTGCCTTTATTTGCTAAGGAAAGCATCCAGCCCTCTTCATGGTGCTGCTGCTCCGGGGAGGTAAAAACCAGCAATATCTTTCTCTCCTGAGAACTTTTGTGTTAGAGCAATCCCTGGTGGACATATTCAATCCTGGAGGCAACATCCAAATTTTGGTGATGGGTTCCTGAAAGTGGACTGCTCCCTCACAAGAAGTGCTGTGAAAGAAAGCTGTTGCTGGCCTTTACCTCCCCTCAGTGGCCTATTATCTGCACCACAAACACTGGGGATAGCTGCTTGCCTTCCAAAATAAATGTATTTCTTTTTGTTCTGGCACATTTTATTTGCCAGTAGTGCCTAGAAATTTTGAACTTCGGATCTGCACATCGTGTGTCTTGGACAGTGTTGAGGTCCATTTAACAGTTCAGCAAGTGCTCAGCACCACATGGCAGAGTTCTGAATGGTGACAGTGGGAAGGTAAAAACCAACATCTGTTTGTCCAGGCACCTTTAGTATGAGAGCATTTTGTGGAGGCCTTCAGTTTTGGATCCTGACTCTGTGAGAGTAAAAGAAAGGAAAGAGAACAGTCTCAGTGTTGATGGTGGTGCAGTTTATAGGCTGCCAACAAAAAGGTGTAGTCCAGCACTGGCTCTTTCTTCTAGGACCTTTTCTGTGGGAGCAGCCACTGAATTTTTTTATTTTGGATACAGATTTTGCAGGAGTGGAAGAACCTGAGGGTACACACAGCTGAAAGAAAGAGCAAAGACCTGTGTGTGTGGTGCAGTTTACGGGCTGCAAAGGGAAGGTGAAGGCCAGTGCTGAATTTTTGTTCTAAAATCATCTGTATGTAAGTGGTTGCTGGCTGTATTAAGTCTGGAAGCAGGGCTCTGCAAGACTCACCTATCGTGACCAAGGCTTTTGCTGGATACTTTTAGTTTAGGTACAAGATCTGTGTGATGGTGAAAGTATGTGAATTTAAATACGTATTCAGTTTTGGAGGTATTATCCAAATTTCTGAGGTGGACTCCTGAAAATTCTGGAAGTAGATGTGTTTTGGAAAGGAAAGCAGCCTCTGTGTTGGTGGTTCAGATGACAGTGTCCAGAGGAGATAAAGCCAGCAGCAGCTTTCTGTGGTGCCTCCTCTTGTGCTTGAGCAAACACCAGCTTGCCTTTACCAAGGAAAGGCACTGTCATCTACTTTCATGAGCCACTTGCAAAAAATTGGATTCCAAATCCAAAATTTGAATATGTCCAGGGATGGCTGTCACATAAAAGTTACCATGACAGAAAGCTGTTGCTGGCCTTTACCTCCTCTTGGCAGCCTATCACTTCCACCTCCAGCACTGGGGATACCTGCTTTTCTTGCCAAAATAAATGTGTTGCCATACACTTCAGGAGAGCCAGCTGTACAGTTTGATCCAGGGTCCAAAACTAAATACATTCAGAGATTGGGACCACACAAAAGGTGCCAGGAGAGAAAGCTGTTCCTGGCCTTTACCTCCACTGGCTGCCCTGTCATCTGCACCACCAACACAGGCACTAGGTGCTTACCATGTCAAAACTGAAGCACTGTCATAATTTACTGTAGTCTATCTCTGAAATTGGGATTCTAACTCAAAATTGGAATGCATCCAGGGATTGCTCCCACAAGAAAGGTGACAGGAGATAAAGCTGTTTGCTGGCCTTTACCCGGCTTCTTGGGCAGTGCATCATTTGAACCATCTAAACTGGGACTGGGTTCTTGCCTTCCCAAAACAAAGGGACTGGCATCACCTTTTGTGGCTGGATCAAAATTTTGGAGCTGGGCTTGGCAAGAGAGCAAAAAAGTGAGGCTGCACTTTCTAAAAAGAAAAATAAGCATGGCACCAATGTGTTTTGTGCAGTTTGCAGGCTCCAGGGGGAAGGTGATGCCCAGCACTGTCTTTTTTATTCCTTCTCAACTGTATGTACTATCTCATTCTTTCACTATTGCAGAGCCCAGCTCCAAAAATAAAAACATGCTGCAAAAATCTCGCTCACGAAAGGCCTCGGGTGAGAAAGCTATTGCTGGCTCCTCTTCAACTCTCACCTCCCAAGCTGCACCAAATACACTGGTGCTATGTGCTTTCCCTCTCAGCTGCATGTACCATCACATTTTTTCACTCTCTCAGACCCCAGCTTCAAAAGAAAGAGCCCAGGCTGGACTTTCCCTTTCTTTAGCATACAGTAAAATGCCTTTAAAGTGCACCACCAACGCTGGAGCTATTCACTTTCCTTCCCAAGTATACGAAGCTTCACTGTTGCATAACCAAGATCAAAAAATGGACATCTCCACCAACTGAACACACACAAAAGTCACCAGGACAAAAAACTGTTCTCGGCTTTCACTCTCCCAGTGTTGTCTTTCAACACCTCCACCAGATGGCGGTGGGTACTTGCAAAATCATTAAATGCACCATGACACCGAACCATCCGAAATTGAAAATGTTCAGTGAGACCTGAGCCCAGACAATGACCTCAGAATCATATCCTTGAGCATCAGCTCAGGCACTTCTGATCCTCTTGAAGGGACCTCCAGTTCATAGTTACAAGAAATGAGCAATGAATACCCTGACCAGGACTAAAGGGGCCCTGCCTACAGCCAGGTGGGGAAAGGGACAACCGGACCTATTGGACTGTGTGGATCGGATGGCCTGGCACATCAGACCCAAAGGAGTATAAGGCTTTAGTTGACACTGGTGCACAATGTACCCTGATGCCATCAAGATACGTAGGGTCAGAATCCATCTCTATTTCTGGAGTGACAGGGAGATCCCAACAGCTGTCTGTGCTGGAAGCTGAAGGAGAGCTTGACTGGGAATGAAATGGCAAAAACACCCCATCGTGACTGGCCTAGAAGGCCTGTGCATCCTTGGCACAGGCTACCTCAGGAGCAGGTATTTCCAGGACCCAAAAGGGCATCACTGGGCTTTTGGGATAACTGCTGTGAATACAGGAAATTAGGCAGCTGAATACCTCCACCTGGCCTCTCAGGGGACCCTTCTGCTGTGGGACTGCTGGGGGTCGAAGAGTAACAGGTACTGATCACTACCATAACAGTGCAACTTCAGCAATACCACACCAACCAGGTGCTTATGAAGGAGTTCAAGCAGCTTCAGAAGTGATTGGCACCAAAGCACAGCTCCTCCTGGCACCCTGACTGCCAGCGCTGGGCTGGAGGTTCAAAGAAAAAGTCCCTTCCACATATCGTGCGACTGATGCCACGTAGAGTAAGTGGATCAATCTAATCACACAGCGAGCTTGGACAGGAAATCCCAATCGCCCAGGAATCTTGGAAGTCATCAGAAACTGGCCCAAAGGCGAAAATTTTGGACTATCATCATCATCATCATTAGAGAAGAAGATGACACATGCTGAGGAGGCCCCACCTACACAATCAGCTGCCCAAAAATGAAAAGCCATATGCTCACTTTGCTGACAGTTCCTGCCCTATTGCAGGGACACATTCGAAATGGAAAGCTGCTACATGGAGCTCCACACGGTGAGTCACAGAAGTTATCGAGGGACAAGGTGGATCGAATCAGGTTGCAGAGCTGAAAGCCATCCAGCTGGCTTTAGATATAACCAAACAAGAGAAATGGCTAACACTCTACCTCTACACTTACTCGTGGATGGTTGCAAATGCTCTCTGGGGGTGGCTGGACCGATGGAAAGAGACCAAGTGGCAGCACAGCTGTAAACCCATCTGGGCTGCTGAACTGGGGCAAGACATCACTGCCCGAGTAGAGAAGCTGACTGTGAAAGTCCATCATGCAGATGTGCACATACCTGAGAGTCAGGTTACTGAGGAGCATTGCAACAATGATCCTCAAGCTGCCAAGATCAAAGTCTCTCAGATAAATCTGGACTGGTAACACAAGTGTGAATTATTTCTGGCTCAGTGGGCCTGTGATGCCTTAACCTGGTCATCAGGGGAGAGATGCAACATAGAAATGGGCTCGTGATCAAGGGGTGGACTTAACCATGGGCACTACCTCATGGGTTATCCATAACTATGAAACATGTGCTGCCATCAAGCAGGCCAAGCAGGTGAAGCCCCTGTGGTATGGGGAACAATGGTCAAAATACAAATTTGGGAAGGCCTGGCGCATTGATTGCATCACACTCCTGCAAACCTGGAAGGTAAGAGCTACATGATGACAATGGTGGAAACAACCATTGGATAGCTGGAGACATAGCCTGTGTCTTACACCACTGCCCAGAACACCATCCTGGGCCTCGAACAGCAAGTCCTGTGGTGACACAGCACCCCAGAAAGAACTGAGTCAGACAATGGGACTCATCAAAAACAGCCTCATAGTCCCCTGGGACAGAGAACATGGTATTGAGTGGGTATATCATATTCCCTATCATGCACCAGCCCCTGGGAAAGTTGAAGGGCACAATGAACTGTTGAAAAACCACACTGAAAGCAGTGGGTGGTGGGACTTTCGAACACTGGGATCTACATTTAGCAAAGGCACCTGGTCAGTGAACACTCTAGAGGCTCCAGCAGTCGAGCTCGCTCTGCCCAATCAGGCTCCTTACATACCATAACAGGGGATAAAGTCCCAGTGGTGTCTATAACAGAATATGTTAGGGAAGACAGTTTGGATTAGTCTTGGGTCAAGCAAAGGCAACGCCATCCATAGGATTGTTTTTGCTCAAGGATTTGAGCAAATTGGTGGGCAATGCAGAGGGATGGGGAATCGTGACATGTACCTCATGGGGATTTGATTTTTGGGTGAGAACAGTCTGTAATGTTGAATTGTAAGTATAATATTGCTTGCTGAATGACACTTGCCACTGTAGGCCACAAGTACCATGGACAATGAGGATGGACTGCTCCAGATACACCAGTCGGGAGCTCCTGGTGCAGCTTGCAACCACCCCACAGCACAGCAGCCCTCCTGCCCTGGAAGGCATCGAGGATGGATAGAACCCACAGTTATGGATTAAATGAACTCAACAGCCATCCTGGAGGGACAGCCATTGACTATGGAAATGATACCTGGGCTTATATATATATATATACATATATATATGTATATATACACAAACATATAGAGTTGGAAGGTTTAAGCTCTGGGCACGACATAGGTGGTATAGAGTAAGAGGTGGGTAATTTCATGGTTGTGATCAGGACAGGGTTAATTTTTGCAGGAGCCAGGAAGGGGCATGGCTAGGATACAGAGGTTGTTAAAGACCACCTCACATCATTTTCCAGGGATGGGGAAGGGTTCTCTTCCATTCCACTAAGTGTGGTGGTTGAAACAGTGGGGTAGTGCTGGTTCCCTCTGTTACTGTTAACTGTTACTTGTTTTTCCCATTCCACTGCTGTTTCCAGTAAATTGTTCTTATCTCGGCTCCTGATCCTTACTCTTTGTGCCTCCAATTCTCCTCTCCATCCCTCCACAGGGGGAGTGGGAGGGGACAGTGAGCACACGGCTTGTGGTTAGGAGTGGTTCAGTAGGAACACTGAATTAGGGAATACAATTCCTAAACCACAACGCTGGGGGATTGCCTTCATCCTCATGCCAGGCTAGCACAGGACTGAAGAAGGGAGCAGGCCCCTGTGCTTCGTGCTGTTTCCCGGGACCAGGGTGCCTGTAAAGTTTACCTTGGATATGGCTACAAGGCTGGGATTCTCTTAACTCTTCCTTCTCCCCACCATCGGCTCCTGGCAGAGCTGCCCCATCGCACCGGCACCCTGGAGGAACCACGGGCAGCAGAGGGTCCTCAAGGCAGGGAAGGTCTTGCCCTCACTTCTTTGGGCAGAACAGAGCAGAGAAAGGGAGAAAAGCAGTGTCATGGTTTAGGAATGGTACTCCCCAGTTTAGTTCTTTCACCAGGACTCCAAACCACACTGCTCCCCCTGCCTCTGTCTTCTGCCCTCCCTGCAGGCGGCCGGAGAGGAGGCACAAAAGGCAAAGATCAGAGGCTGATAAGAACAATTTACTGGAAAGAGCAATAAGAAAATGAACAATAACATCAATGATATTAAAAAAAAAATGTACAAGAGGGGGTGAGTCACATGCCAAATATTCACCAAGCCTTACACAACTGCAGCTGGCAGCACTCCCACCCTGCCTGCTCCATGAACCGGGTTTGCTCCCCACTGGAAGCCACACCCTTTTTCTCCAAAGCCCAAGAGTCCCTTCCCCCAAGGTGGTATTGAGTGCTCCCTCAGCCAAACCTCCTCTCAGCTACCAGAAAAATTCACCCTGTTCTTGGCTACAACCAGGACATTATCCACCCATTATTCTATAACATCTACATCATGCCCAGACCCTACACTTCCCAACTATATACATACATACATATACATATATATATATATATATATATAAGCCCAGGTATCATTTCCATAGTCAATGGCTGTCCCTCCAGGATGGCTGTTGAGTTCATTTAATCCATAACTGTGGGTTCTATCCATCCTCGATGCCTTCCAGGGCAGGAGGGCTGCTGTGCTGTGGGGTGGTTGCAAGCTGCACCAGGAGCTCCCGACTGGTGTACCTGGAGCAGTCCATCCTCATTGTCCATGGTACTTGTGGCCTACAGTGGCAGTGTCATTCAGCTACCAATGTTATACATGTACAATCCAGTCTTTGAGAGGGCCAAAAGGAAGTGTTCCAAAATCAAGAGTGAAATTGTGTCTCACCCACTACACCTCACACAGCTCTGAATTAAAAATCTGTAGCGGGCCCTCGGCTGGGGAGAAAACATTTCTGCTTCAGCTCACCCTGGTCTCTCAACAAGCACTCAAAAGCAAGAGATGGCAGGTTCTCCTGCCAGCTCCCACAATCCTGCTCTTCAGTTCCCCTGTATCCCTGCTGCAACACCACTGGCTGTGGCAGAACAGCTGTTCAGAGTGGCCAAGCTCAGCTCTGAGAACTGACACAGCAGAAGAGCTTGTTAAAGCAGTCAGAACAGTCAGCTGCTGTTCTCTGGGCATTGAAAGTTGTGTGTGAAACAAGCTTTTAAGGGTGCCTAAGCCCTTCTATTATTAGTCACACTGAGCTTAGTCCAAGAGGGTGCTTCAGACAGCACAACATTTGAACCACCTTCCCACAAAACAGGTGTCATGTTCAACATCTCTGTGGATGTGCTCCCCAGCTTTCATGAGCAGTGATACAAACTCTGATAGGCACTGAGCGTCTGATGGTAATGTCCTCAAGATCTGTCGAGAGAATCCTACACGGGTATACAAATGAGAAAACAGTTAAGAATTAATCACATAAGTGAGGAATGTATCGGGTAACAGCCACAGGTTCCTGATGTCAAGACCCCGGTTCAGCGCCCCCTCCCCTTCTCAAAAACACAGCTCACACACCTCCAAGTTTCGTTTAGGGTTGTGGGGTTTTGTTTGTTTTTTATTAAAAGGCGGTTTCCAGATACCTAATCATTACTGTGCTGTTTGTGCATGACAAAAAAAAAAAAACAAAAACCCGGCTTTAAATACTCAAATACACAAGTCAAAACAAGCTGTTTCAAACTGCTCAGCAGTGCAGGCTCAAGCGCTTATTTGCAATGGCTTTGTACAATCAGTTCTACGTAGCGATGACCGTATATAAAGAATATAGTACATACTATTGTCTTCATCGTCAATTTACAAGAGAAAAAAAATAAATATTTTCCATTCTTATTATACATTAACACTTCAGTAGAAAGTTACAGCTATTGTGTTGGCATGACCTGCAATGTCAGGAGGAAAAAGGACATGCATACTTATCTATTAAGAACTCTAAACTATGACTTTGTAATAAATTACAGAGGATAGATACCAGTCAAGAGAATACCAATTATCTGAATTCAGTACATTTGTGATTCTTGCTCCAAGGTAAAAGCCAAAAATCTTGCTAAATACAAAAGCTAGTAGCTTGCATTGTGTAAATAAGACAAACCACTTATGGTATAGCCTTTTCTTCAAATGTTTGTGAATAAATAGGCTTGTGGTTTATTTTAGGCAAAAAAGATTAAGTTGTTGAGTTGGTCCTTGCATCCTTCACACATAACTAGCACCATAAAGATGCAAGGGCCTCAGCAAACACCTAAATTTCATGCTTAATAGATAAAGCATGCATTCTGTAGAGTTTGTGCATGGTACATATTCTGTCCATTAAGGTTACTGTGCAAAAAGAGATTCTCAACCACTGAAGATGTTTCTGTAATTCTGTTAAAATTATTAGCAACATTTGTAAAGTTCTGCAGGCCTGTGTGCGATTAATGAAAAAAAAATAAAAATAAAATAAAATCATACTTGTGGTTCACCCCTAATTGCTATACACAGGCACAGTACAAACTGACAAACGAGACAACAAAGGCAGCAGCCTAAATGTCCAATGAAGTGGGAAAAAAATGACTGCAGTTTACTAAAAAATATATAAATATTTTCAAATTGCACAAAGCTTTGTACAGGTGGATCTATCAGTGCAAATACATACATATATATATGTATATGAGGTACCAATTCATTCAGATCTTTTTATAGGCCAGATCTATTTATATGTATATTTATATCACAATCACTCTCTTAATTTCCTGTTGTCAGATAAATGCTACAGCTTGTCAGCCTCTAAAAAGTAAAATCAAAGTCAAAACAATTTTTCAGGATATTCAATATTGTAATTTGTATTCATTGTCATTTCCCTAAGATTCAAGTTTCTGAGCTTTCACTACTGAGACTGCTTCATTAATTTGTTTTTTAAAAGCACTAGCGTTAATTTTGTTTTTCAAGATTTGCCATGACTATAGGGGAAAGTTAAAACTCTATATGTAAATTGGAACAATAACTATAACTGGTTGAAGATTTTAACATTGTCTGAAATTTTAGTAAGTACTGTTAGGAAGGAGGAACACAGTTATTGCTATTTGGAGATTTTTAAAAATAAAATAAACCAACCTGAAAGCATAGACAGGACTGTTCCAATAGTGAAAATTTGCTAGATACAAAACAGCATCCTGCCTAAAATTAGTCATTTTGCATTTGAACACTCTTCAAGTTATCTACAGCTTTCTCTTCCAGGTAGCTATTATGACATTTACATGGAACTATGGATTTGAAGTGGCTAACAGTGGGACACACACAGCTTTTCAACTCTGGCAATTCTCTCTTGAGACGTTCCAGCTGCTCCACCTGGAATATATTTGGTTGCTCAGGATTTGAGTCATATATCCTGAATGAATGAGAAAAGAAAAAAACATTGATCAGTATAAACTGACAGCTGACAGAAATGTACACTAGATAAAGCAGCTGGGGGGGGTGTTAGGTATTGGTAAGTCTATAAGGACAGTTTGTTTGAGGTTAGTATCCAAAGTTTTGCTGTTCATCTTGCAATATAGAATGGTATTCCTTTTACACAGACTGATTAGTATTTCATTGGATATACTGAAAAGCTCCCCACTGGCATTTACTTACTTCATCTCCTGAAAAAACGTGATTTTACAGGTGGCACAAAACAGTAAGATCAGTGTTCCAGACTTCAAACTTAAAAGCATAAGAAATTTCAGAGCCCTGAGATTATTTGAACAGACTGATATACTACTTGTATATCACACTGAAAGGAGTTTATGCTTACTGTTTCAAGGAGTATTTCACCTCCCCCCAGTTCAGAACCACCTCTCTTGAATTACCATAACAATATTAGGTCAAGAGTGAAAACCAGAAAATCTGATCTTTCTTCATACCTAATGTAAATTAACTATCTACACTATTTCAAATAGTCTATCCTCATTTCAATTTCTTGTTTTCACACATGTAAGCAAACCTGCAGGATTTAAAATGTCACCTCACACAAAATCCAACACACATTTTGAGTCTGACAGTGACACTGAGCATAATCCTAACATTATTTTGGTGTAATTCATTATAAAACAAAAGCATTCATGTTCCTGTAACCGAACTATGGTACAACACCTGATCTCCCAACAGTAATTTCTAATATCAGCACGTTATTTCTATCCAAAATTTCCTTCTGGGCATCCAGTTGTGCATATACAATTTCAGGTATTGCACATCTCCAGGTTTATCTCCTTCAAATGAAAACTTCTGGAAGAAATCACCATGGCTTCCACCTTAGTCTTTTATGAATATTCATACCTTTCCTTATGATTCCTTCAAGAAATTAGTTTGGTTTTATTTCATCATCCTTTGTCCTTCATAAGTTTTCAAGGTATGTCCAAAAGGAATGCAGTGTCACAAATCAGAGTAACAGAGTGCTGTATGACAGAGTGCAAGCAAGGTGCCTTTTTACCCCAACAAGACAACTTGTGAACTGCTGGCAACTCTGAGACATCCAAAACAAAATGCAGCTCAAAGACCGATATAGTAACAGAATTCAAATAAGGAAACACTTCTACAGGAAATATTGATACGGATCACACTCTCTACAGACAATTTCTGTGACGAAAACTCCTCAGAGTGAGGATAAATGCTGTCTGTTTTTACGAAATTCAAATAGAAGGCATAGCAGTTCAATTACTTGCACAGCACCTATAATCCAACACAGGCCTAAGATATAACCCAAAATTGCCTTATGGAAGCTATCTGCAAAACAAAAGCCCTGCCTTCTTTCCAGGATGCAGGTAAGACCTGTGCTTTCTTGTCAGTTTACACATTATGAATTTCTCTATGCATTCAAGGCAAAGCACTGAAACTAGAAGACAGTTTTCTATACAAGTAATACACTTTAGGGACTAAGAACCTCAAGTCCTTCCCATCAGTTAGACATTAGAAGAGCAAAAGCACATTTCTAAGCACTTTGTTCCTAGAACATGGCTAAGCATGTTTCTAAGCGGCTTCTGGCAGGTATTTTATTAGTTCTTTACTACAGCATAAATTCTCCAATTCTTGCTTCATATTAAGTTCTTTTCAATTGGCATTTTGGAGGAATCCAACCCTCCAAACTCCTTTGAACCTGTTCACCAGAGCCAGTCTGCTCCAATGTGTATAGGGTGTTTCTTCCAAACCAAAAGCAGAGAAGACACTTTGAAGCACAGCTTGTGATTCAGAATTTCTTGTCCTCACTTTTCGTTCGGGGCCATGAAAGTAAGCCACCAGTTTGCAAAAACAGAGCACTGTTTCAGGATGTCTCTCAATTAATTATTTAATTACATCAAAATAAGTAACATCTCCCTATCCTTCATTCTTCAACAGGACACTTATTCGTAAGTAGCTATGCACCAAAGTTCCTCCATTCAACTTCCTATTAATGAGCAAGCTCCACAGAAGAGTGGGAAGAATCCTTTAAAAATTACTTTTTAAAATAAGCACTTTCTACAAAAGACTTGCAGGACATTACAGGATCATGCAGTGGATGTAAAACTGATGTGTTTAGCTCCTGTCAGGTGTTTCTGCAACCTCTGAAAACACACATGAGACAAAAGTCATCAGCACTGAAAAACTGTTTTCATGCTAAAGAGATTTTGGGAAGCTTTTGATTAAAACTCTTCATTTTTCTTTGCATCAAGGTAAACTCGAGTTTAGTTTAATTTGCAATTCACAAAATAGGGAAGACTTAGATTGCCATTGCGTAACATCTTAATCACTGAGCAGGTTAAATTATAAATCAACTAATAGTAGTGCAGATCCTTCATATATCCATGCTGTATTTTAAGTAACATGCAGTTTCAGGCAAACAGGGCAGCGCAGATTTAGACAGTCTTCTGCTTTTGAGAAGTGTTTGGAATGCTTTTGCCTTGATTGCCAGCTAAATTTGTGTTCAATTTTGGGAAGTTACTAATACCAATCAAGCACAGAGCTTTCGTCCAGAGTCCACAAATGCAACATGCAGCCTAAGAAAGCTCTCATGGAAAAGCTCTCAGCGTAAGAATTACTGATTTAGCATTTTTATGCAGTTGTGCGTATTATTCAACAAACAAAATTCAGATCATGTAAAGTGAATGAAAAAAAAGACAATGCAAGTGTAGGTTAGCACCCAGCCCCTCTCCACGTTGGTATTTAATATACAGCCAACAGGTGTAAAAACATAAGACTGCATTGCTTTTACTGAGTTAAGTATTTCCTGGACTGTTTACAAAGCTTACCCAGGAGAAAAATACCAGATAAATCACCCCACAAATCCTGCTTTAAAATTCATCATTTTTTGCCAAGCCAGAGAATTTCACTACAATAAGTTAAAGTTTCTTCTCTAATTAAAATCTAAACATCAGACTAATAGAGCATTTTAAGGATGAGATTTCTGTGTAGACAGAATATACCCAGTCATGCACATAAAGTATTCTTCTGTATAAGGGCCCAAATAAAAGCCTGAAGGCAGAGGTGGCACCTTTCTGTAGATTGTCCTTTTAATATAAGGAATTTGGTTACTTTAAACACTGAGATGAAACCAGTTGAACCACAGGAAAATAGTAGAGTATCATCCCAGCAACAGCACCAGAACATCCATTTGGTGTAATGTCTTTGGGTATATCTAATAACCTGCAGCCCAAGTGGAGAAAGGACTGGATGGGGGGAGAGAGATGTGTGTGTTCTTTCCTCTGCCCCAGTGAGATCATTCTTTTAATATTGTTGGCATTTGTAAGCTTCCCAGATTTAGTCTTGCAGCTTTTCTTCATGCAAAGCAAAGTCAGAACCCCCTACCTGCATTTTTTTTTTTTTTTGCCCCGTGCTTGATATCACCAACTTTTGGTATTCAGGACACAGTGTTTCTGCCATCTTCACAACTGGCTACATTGTTTTGGCCAACTCTACATGGATGATTAAAGTTTGGAAAACACAGCTTACAGAAGTTATCTCTATGCAGACAGTTCATTATCTCAGAAATCACTACTGCATACAGTAACTAAGGGCCATGTGAAAGCAACCAAAAATTCACTAAAATTCCTCTTTTCTCTTTCTAGCTTATTCAGATAACTAGCACTTAAGATAGTGTAAGTAAAGGTCTAGTAAACAGCAACACAGAACACCAGGCACAGCAATTTTTGATAAATATCTGGACTCAGCCATAAATCCAGAGAACAAAAATTCTGCAGAAACCATGGAAGAAGCATGCCTTGATTCAGCCCTAGAAATATTCTGGAATTTGAAGACACAATAATAGCATGAACTGGCTTTACACTAATAAACAGATTACTGCAGTCCCTACTTATTTCTAGACCCTGAAACAGGTAAGTACATCTCTCTCTCGAGTTCTGCTTCACAGTAGTTTTAAATACATTTATTTCTAAACCTCAAACAGCACAGGAATATGGATGTTTCCTCCATACCTATTTTAACTCTTAATATCAACTTCATAGTCTCAAATGATCTGGAAGATTGCCTCTTTACCCAGCAGCTCCAAGTGGGAGTGGAAACACTTGCTGCCAGGTTTTACTTTTTGACATTCTGTCCAGGACTTGAAAGTGCCACCTGCATTTCAAAGTGTCCAGCTTGAGATATCTGATGCAACTTTCAGAAAGTGTCATATTTCTTCTAAAGGGACCTATATTAAGACTGAATTTAATCAGTAACTTTTGAAAAGTAATTAAGAATTGCAAAGGAACATTCTACAGGAAAAGAGGGGAAATAGCATTTCCCTGCAACAATGATACTGAAATAAGATAATTGTTTGCTACTCAAATTGCAGTTTGCAACTTGAAAAACGAAAAAAAAATGCAGAGCAGAACTAGAGTTTTTAAATAGCCTTGGAATTACTACTAATTCTGGGGTTCCTCTTAATAAAGTGGAAAGATGTTAAAGTGCCAGGGATACACGGGGCAGGCAGCGAGAGGAGAGATGAACACTACTAAGAATTTAAATGATCTAAATAGTGCAGGGAAGTTAAGAAATTTTTCTTCAGTTAAATCCACAAGGGAATTCAGATTTCCAACAAGTTGGTTAGTTGCCAAAAGGTGAGCTGAAAGGTGTTCTGTTATCCTACTACAACTTAAAACACACTGAACAGTACATAAGGGACCATAAGACGACAAGGAGCAGACTTGTAGCCTTGACAGCAATGCAACAGCATTTAAGTAGTGTTGAGTATCTGGAGTAAGAAAAGCAACATGAAGTCAGAAATGAGGCTGTCACCTTCTTAATTTTTTTACCATAGTACTGAATGTGCATTGCACATGGAGAAATTAGCAACTCTGGAAGACTGGATTAGTAGACATCAGATGAACAGACATTTTAAGCATATTTTACACAGCAGTAATTGATTAAAACACCCCACCTATTCATGAACCAACAATGTATTACTTTAAGTTATGCACATAATAGGATCCAATCTCATTTCTCTAGGATTGTACATCAAAGAGTCAGAGTTTCATCTGCATTCTACTCCAGAGATAATTTTCATCAATTAAAGGGGCCCTCAATCATGAGTTTTAGAAGAGATACAACACACAGCAATGTTGTGGCAAGAAAGAGGACTTATGTTTTAATGTCTTCAGTCTGGATCTGATCTCCAGTGTAAAAATCTAGTTATTCTTTTTTACTGTCAAAGAACAGGAGACACTCTACACAGTACAAGAAGTGAGACCTCTGGCAAAGCAGAGAGGCAATGGATCCACCACTCTGGAAGGACTCTTAACAGTCAAGAACAGATAAAAGAGAGTTAACCTTTTTTTTTTTTTTCAATGAGAAGGAAAGAGCAAACCTTATTTGATTTCTTGCCTCTAGATATGTTAAACTGACTCTCAGTTTTCACTTTATAAAACAGAGTCCTTGACAATTATTAATCCCTTTCCTCCCTTTTTATTTTTTCAGGTAAAACAATATGCAAAGCAATATCCTTACTAAAGCAAAAGGCTTGAAAGTCTTCTATAATTTGACACTTTAGTTACACTTACTGCTTTCCCAATGACATTCTTTTTCATCTATCAGAATTTCTAATTTAATACAGCTTCTCAAACTAGTCATCATCTTGTAATAATGAATTTCACATCTTCAGTGACAAATGAGCTAAAACTTTTGGTGTTTGTGAAGAACTTAATAACACAACAACACTTTTGTTCAAATATTCACCATGATATTCCGATGACCACCTGAATTGTCTGGAAATAATAGAATAGCTACCTTCTATAGTGACTAATTCAGCAGTTTGCCCTGGAGTCCCTCCAAGATAATTTTAATAGGAAAAATGGTGAATTCACAGCTTTGAAACACAACAGAATGTTTGCAAAACTTAAGTTAAAATTATTCACTTAAACTGTGTTAGCTATTTCCACAGTTTAATGTAGAAAGCTTAAGCTTTCAGGCAAACCATTAAATAATATTGTCCTCATCATATCATGTACATAACTTAAAAACTATCCTCAGAAATATCAGTAGCACCTTAAATGTGTGTGCCATGCACTATTTCTTTAAAGAACCAAATTACATTTATGTTAATCTCAGAACAAACAAATTATTTCACTTCATTTATACAGCTGAAAGAGTGGGAATAAGTGTTAGACTTGTTCTTGATCTGGGTTTATGGGCTTCTTGTACTTCCAATACAAGAAGGAAGATATTCTGCACCCAGTCAACCAAGAAGCAATGTGACATTTCACTGGAATCAAGACACAACAGTTTCTAAGCTCGATGATGATTATTCATAAAAGCTATAATTAAATACCTGTCATATATCAGCCCATGAACACCATATTCTCTCAACTTCTTCCTGTTGTCTGGGTCATTTGCATCATCGCCCCATGAAAAAATAACTAAGCCCTCAGATATGGCCCGTTTAATAAACGATGGATTCCTCAGCAGATCTTCAGAATGCACATTAATTCCCTGAAATACAAAAGACTTCAGTTAAAATTCATGTTTCTGAAACACATCAGTTTTTTTAATCTTTGACACTTGCAGCTCCTTATGATTTCATCCATAATAATAAAAAATAATTTATACAATTAGAGAGTTTATTGATAGTGCTATTTTTAAAACACTCTATTACGACATTTGAAACAATGGACATTAATTTGGCAGTTACCCAACTTTATTGTATTTCTTTCATGAGGTTAGTTGTAATTTTTAAGTGTTTGTGTGAAAAATGATAGATTTAAAACAAGGAGTAATAATTTAGTTTCATTTTACCACAGAGTAGTACCAGAACTTGTGTCAGCTTACCAGTAAGTTTTCAAACTGTGCAAAAGTAATGGCAATTGGAGTTGTGCGAGATCTAAGGTCCATAAGCTCTGGATAGAGTTTGGATTCTCCTTGGGTGAGAAATAACACAGGATACTTGTTTTGCTTATGCCGAATCCTGTTAGAAATAAAAAGTTCACAAGTAGGAAATGAAAAAAAAAAGCAGGGGAATTCAATTTTACTGTTTTGAGTGGAATTCCTCTCTGTGCTGCACGTTCTTCTAGTTCCTAGCTGGTGCTATGAAATGGTACTACAGTTTAGCATCAAACTGTGTGACAAACTGCTCAAATTATTTATTTCTTTTCCCATTATTAGAGATTAAGATTAACACGCAGTTTGAGGGAAGCTTGACTTAATGTTGAACTCAGATCCACATCCTCAAAAATCATTGAAGGCTGTTTAATTCTGTAATTTTCTTCTTAAATGCAGGTTAGAGTAACATGAAGATCCATGATAAGAATTTCTAAAGATGGTTAATATCAAGAACCTAACCTTGCTAATGTATTTTTCAACTTAGGTACCAGTACACTGGTATGAAATGACAACAGGTAGAAGCAAAATTTTGAGATTGGCATGTCGTTACACACTTGCTTCTTAACCCTTTTATCAGTACCTTGACTTAAGTTTTGCCTTGCCCATTGACTCTTCAATGGTATTTTCATCAGTGCAGCATGAAATGAAGCTTCCATAACAAAGCTTTCTTTAACAGTGCTGAGGCACTTCTGGTTACCAAGTACTGCAGCACACTTTTAGTTCCTATGTATCCCACCAGTTCAACTCCTATTCTTTTTCTGTGCCCCAATACCTTCAATGTGAAATTCCACAAAAAGCAAAGTAAACCACTTAATAAAAACCACAAAGAAAACCTAAACCAAACATGGGCAACACAAAGTTCTTTTGTTTTCTGTCCTTTTAAAAAGGCAGATACGGTGAAAAATTGTAACAAGACCTGGAGCACGACTAAAAAAAAAACTTTGGGATACCAGAGGAAACCTTGACCTTTTTTGTTGTGTCAAGAAAGAGTGAAGCATTCAGGAAGGCACTTGACAAAAATATCTATGATTTAGTTCTCCTATTTGATTTTTGAGTCATTTCTGATGGCAAAGTGGTCTCATTTCAGTTCCTAACTATTTTGGCACCCAAAGTTTATGTCTAAGTAAAACAAATTGTTATTTGTTCCTGTTGGGTATTCTTATGCACAAAGTAAATTATACCCAAAAAAAAAAAAAAAAAAAGAGAGAGAGAGAAAAAGAAAATACATAATTTATCTTCTTAACTTACATTGTACAAACATCTGCATGAAAAGAAGAAAATACAATTCTTCTTCTTCCAGCATTCATCAAAACAGTTTTTAGAATAATATCTAGAAAAAGGTTCATATCAAAGTAAGTTGACAAGTTGCCATCCCACTGTCCATCCTAGAAAAAGAAAGAACAAGCTTCAGACATTTAAATTAGTGGTTACTGAAATTATTTTAACCAGCAATGTTTTTCATTCTACCTGAGCAAAACTGAAAATTTAGTTTGCCAGTTCGAATACAGAAACCAACCCTTCAGTCTGCTGAATGTTAGTTACAGCTCTACAGGACTGACAGTCTGAGGGGCAGCTGAATTCTCACAGCAAGAAGATTCAGTGAAAAATTCATTGTCCCCCTGTCCAAGGAAAACATTTCTAGGAAGCCTGTGCTAATTTTTAAAATGCAAAGGATTTCTCTGAAATATAATGGAATTTCTTGAAAGACCACCAAAACCTATAGCAGACATTCTCTGTTGTTATTTCTAAATGAACACAACCCTGCGACCAGGAAACAGTCGCTTGTATTACTGCACCATGTCAAATTACAAGCTTTAGCTGTCAAAGAATTAAAGTAAATCACAAGAACATTCATTTACCCTTTGCTGGGAGATCCATTTTACTTCTATGTTAAACCCAACATCTTCAGAAACAGACTCCAGGACCTGAAAAAAAATTCATTATGAAAAGACCCCACAGTAAAGGACACAACAAAGCACTGAAGGTCATTTTTGGGAGAATACATTGGAATTTAATGCCAATGGTGTCTAACAGTAAAATGAAGCCCCTCAAGTTTTTAACGTAAGAAACATATACACCCTTTTTTACTCTAATTTCAACTTAATAAATGCATATAAATGGATAAAATCTTAAGGACAAAATTCTGACAAGGCACAAATGCAAGTCAATTCACTTTAATACATGTAAGAAATGCCCCATTTGTACTCCTAAAGAAAAAATGGGGTTTATTTCTCCAGAAAGATACATAAACACATAGTCCTAAGTACAAAATCCATGAGCTTGCCATCATCATGATGATGATGATGATGATGATAAAAAAAAGTTCTTTCATGTGAAGTTCTTGTAAAGAATTATCTTTAAGGCGACTCCAACTCAAAGGTGAAGGTCACACAGTCATGAATATCCGAGGATGTATTCCTCTGTGGCTGGCTCTGCTAGATGGTCAATACTGTGTGATGAACTGCCTAAGGCCAGGTGGTTGGTTTTTTTCAACATTAGAAACAATTATCAGTGCATTAAAATGCAATGCCCTTGTGTACCCTGAGCTATGCCACTTGAGTTCATGAATTAAGAAGCTTGAAATATCTGCAAACTATTACTTTTAAGCACTGAAAAGCCTCCAGTGGCCAGCAATGAAGCCCATATTCTCAGTTTCAACACTGATATCGGAGACCTAAAGCCAAAAATTAATATCCCTTGTGGGCAAAGTTGAAAATAAAACACATACTTTCATGTTTCACAGTCATCATTATCATCTATATTCCTTGTATATAAACCTTATATCATATATAAGGTTTGCTTACTCTTTGCAGTGAAGGAAATGGCTGGGTCTCAAAAGCAGAGTTTTCTTCCTCTTTAAAAGATGCTGGAAAGAAATATAAAATACTGAATCAAAGCAGATAGCAACATAATCCCAGTAATCCCAGCAAGAAAACTGTCTCAAACTCATAAGGCCCTTAGGACTGAAGAATGAATCAGGTCTACCTTTTGATTACCTACACCTTCCCTCTGACATACTCCAAAGATGGTGTTGGCAATTCCTGCTTTGCCCATGGGAAAAATTTTTTGACAATCATTTAAAAACTTGCCATAATACTGATCAGAAACGGCTTCTCCCATCCCTCACCACTTCACTCACTGAATCACACCCAGTAGAAGAAGCAGCCTTGCCTATCAAGGATTATTTATTTTATCTTTTCCTAGACTGGGAGGATGTGCAAGGTACTTTGACAATCTGCTGTCCCTATATTAAGCCAAAAGACACCCTACAACAGTTACCAAAGTTCTTGCTGGCAGTTCTGAAGAGCTGAAGTTAGAGGAGTCTAAGATGGAAACATTAGTAGCAACTTTGTAAATATATACTGATCTATACATGCACCTTCCACAATCCTTGCCTCCTCTTCTCAAGGGAGTAACTTCTGTTCAGCTATTTACTTCCCAGCAAAGAACTCTACAGCACACACAGAATTAACTAAATAAGCATTTAGAAGCGTTCAGGAGGATGACAAATGTGATTAGAACAAGCAACTGCAGCCACAGAATATATATAAATACATGGTAATGAAGCAATCAATCTCAAGACTCTTCCAAACTACTACGTACCATTCTGATCTTTTACTTTCAGGGCAGTCACGTGAGCCAGCTGAAGAACATAAGAGTAACATTAGCAAACACTCTACCCCCATAGAGATCTTCCTACATGCAAAATGTAACTAAATTTCCTTATGAACTAGTTTTTAAGTTTAAAGGTCCATTATAGACAGTTTTAGTAATCTGTAAAAGAACAAAGAAGATCACGTTTTTCTTTCAAAGTTTGTTTTAAAGATTTCAAGGAAAACATGCTTACTGAAAATTGAAAAAATACGTTCAAGGGTAAAAGCACACAGAGTATAATTCCACAGCCAGATGTGAAGAAATCTGAGTATTAATCTCTCCTCTGTGTTTAATCCAGTGCAGAGGGCTGACCAGTTTTATAATGCAGTCACATACTGAGACAGAATCAGGCCAGACACAGGGCCAACTTCCTCGCTCTATTCAAATCCCCCCTGCACAAAAAGGAGCAGACCAAGTAACTTTAAGTAAAAATGATCATATAGTTCTTGGATCAGCCAGATGCTTCCTTGACTGAGGACAGGTATCTCAGTGGGGTCTTGAGTGGCCCAGCCTCATCCCTTGATCCCCTTTTAGTTAGACAGGGCACTTCTGTTCAGAAGGTAGAGTAGTTCAACACAATCCCTCTAACATTTTAAAATCAGACAGACTTCGTGACAGATGTTTTTCTTCAAAGACTTCAAAGCACCGGCTTTCAACGAACCCCACCTTCAATTTCAACCTTCCTTATTTTTTAAAAATTAACATTGTTAGCATAATGATATGAATCTACACAAGCTGTCAGACCACCTTTCTAGAAGATGCAAGTAATGGAATTTATTCAAGTTGTAACTGTGCTGTAGAAGTATTTTTCTTGGAATTAGCTCATTGTTCTAGTCACACGATTTTTAGAACTGTGCTCTCCCAAACTGTCTTTAGTTACTCCCAAAAACTCTAAGTTTCATACACAATTTGAAATTCTACACACAGCATATTGTACTAGCCAAAGTAACAATACCTTCAATAACTGCAGTTGATCAAATGTAAGTTCTTTGACTGCAATCTCAAACAGTTCCAAAGGCTCTGTATCCAGTTTCTTTGAAGAGAAACAATACATAATTAAGCATAACTGAAAACTACAAAAAAGCCTACATGCTTTTAATACCATGACATTAAAGAGAAAAAATAGTTGCCTTTAATTGACAAAGATACAAGTTATATCTTAATAAGATGATCAGTTTTCAGGAGACAACAGTCACTTAGAAGCATAGAACAGGTGTCCTTTTGAAAAAAACAGGATTTGTTTCACACAAGTCAGAGACTTTAAAGTTCTTTCTTCACAAAAAGTTAGTATATTTATTCTATAAAAACCTGATTGGTTAATCAGAAAAAAGATGTGCAAGTAAAGAAATGCAGTAAAAAATACTCCAATACTACTGCCTATCCAATATCACAGAAACTAATATAAAAAGACAAATGTCCTGGGGTGAAATTGAGACACTCACACTCTGCTGCCAAAATAAAGATCTGGTGTCAAAAAAATTTTGTCCATTTCTCACACTGAATATCTACTTCCCTTAGTAAAGTTCCATTTCCACAACTGTTCAAAACCAAGCTTTTTATAAACTGCAATATTGCAAAGGGTGTGAGACTTTGATGACACAAGACTTAGTGCCAAGAAGACAGGACAGTCTGCTCGTAGAACCTCTGTTCTAGCTCCTTTTCTTCTGACCCACTGAGCAATCCAAGAGTTCTTCAACCTCACTTCCACATGAGACATGAAGTATATTGTTTACCTCACAGTTAAGGAACAGAGCAAAATGCTTAAGTTAAAAAGGGTTAAAGAAAACGTTTTTTAAAAAAAATAATGAAAGCCAGGCCATTTTTGGCTAATCAAACTCCCTAAATGAAGGAGATCCTTGTTTCTTCCATTTTTCTGCTGTCCATCTACTGGGATCCAAACAAAGCAGACTTTGGTTTGACATAAAGAGTTATGAGTACACAACTACTTAAGACAAGTAAACATTTAAGTGTCAGTAGGAGAGAGAAATCATGCTGAGAATCACACCAACTCCCCCTCAAAAAGAAACAAAAAGAAGTTGTTTTAGACTGCTCTGGCAGTCTAAAACAGCCCCCCAGGCACTACTGAACATAGTAGAGTTGCCTGCTTTGTTTCCTTCCATATCCTAAATTTATAAGAAAGTTAAATGATAAATATAATGTTGGCTTGAGGAGTGCCAAAGAAACAGCGCATCTCAAAAGCTCTTGCTACAACATCAAAAGGAAAAACTCAACTTCCCTGCTCTACTTCATGCACAGAGTAATGCTGCATATTTCTTCCCATTCCGTCCTTTGAGTCTCCAGAATTATTTCTATGACAGCTTGGCATTTCGGTTTCTGGAATGGTCATACTTATAAATAAAATACAAATGCCATCATCTTTACCTTTTTCATGGCCATGCAACATGTGAGATCGTGGTATACAATAGGCACATGGTCTTTAGAAAGATGTACATCAAATTCCACATATGCTGCTCCCTATAGAAAATTGAAAACCACACAGAACAAAACAAAAAAAGCATTACTACTTATGCACAAGGACTACAGAACTGCACACAAGTTATCCAGGACCTGTAAATACTGGACCTCACACAGAAGCTGAATTCAACTGGTTGTTACCAGTTAAGTTATGCTCAGCAGCAGATTAATAATGAAAAAAAGAATCATATGGGAAAGTATTTTAATTACCATAATGCAGCTCTAATACATATATATATCTTGCTTAATCTTGTAAACCCTCTAGTAAGATTCAAGTATTGTAAACCTGGTTTCAGAGAAAGGTTAAGATGATATTTTTAAATACAGATGTTTAAAACATACATGCCTCTGCGGTGTCCTTCCTCCCTCCTCTCCACCACCCCACCAAGAGACAAGGGATGGTTACATATTGCAAAGCTTTAGGGAGACATTGCATATAGCAACGAGCTTCTGGAGTCACTAGTGAGTAACACAACAGAAGTGTGTTATATATGCAAGAGCAGAAATAGCTGCATCCAGTATTCTCTTGTCCTTTTCAGCTGTATGTTATGAGCTTAAAAAAAAAGGGAAGAAAGATCCAAGAGCTCTAAGTACAATCTTTTCGAAAAGAGGGAGGGCCGGAAAGAAAGAGAAACACACAATAAGAAGCTTGGGTTTTTAGTTATTTTGACTGTCTGCAAATCATTCCTTTGAAAGGCCTCCAAGTATACCATCCTGACTCACACTTTTCCAATCAGTGCAGAGAGAAAACAGGACAGGTTTTTTTCAGCACTTTTCTCAGCAGAAATATTTTTAGAGCGGTGGCTTTCAGCCCTCTCAATCTGCAAATATTTGAAAGCTCTTTTCTGGTGACGCTGCTACTGACTTCCTAGTAAATCTCTGCCTCACAGGTACATTTCTTGTGGGCTTTTTAAAACCTGCCTATAAACCTGCATGTCACACCCAGAGATTAAGAACCACTGTTCAAAACAATTTAGAAGCTACAGTCTGCTTTTGGTTTGCAGTCAGTGCATGTTCCAGTCACTGTGTTCAAATTATACTCTTCCTTCAAAAGAAGAGAAAGCTTTCAGCTGTGACTCTTGGGGAGTACTCCAGAATCAGTAGCCAATTCTGCTCCTGTGCCTTTAAAGAAACTTCAACAGACATTTTGCAAGAACCTGTATTAATACCACTAAGGTATAAAGGCTTAGAAAAGATGAGTTAAACAGCAGGTGATCTCTCAGCACCATGTGACTGTGAAAACAAGAGCCAAAGAACCTCTGAATGTACCTCGGCCTCCAGTTACTCTGCTGCACTAGACTGTCTAGATCAATCTTACCACAGAGCACTTCAGCGATCAAGACTGCTGGAAGGAATAAAAGTGACCACCTCAATCACAGAGTTTAGGCACATGGAGCTGTAGCAAGCACCAAAACAAAGGACTGTTCTATTCTATCAGCTCAGCTCCCAGGTCACATTTTCAGACACCAAGTTTTGCTACACAGCAGCCTCTGAGAGAGTGCTTGGGAGAGTCTCAGCGAGAGAGTTTGGCACCTGCAAGTTACGCTGACAGACTCAGGTAGTGCCAAAATTTTATTCATTTGTTCAAACTTATTCCAACCCTATGTCTCTACAGGACTGAGATTAAAATTCTCTCTGTAGTAGAACATATTAAATGGAAGAAGTTTTGCCTTTTTTTTTTTTTTTTAAGAACTTGAAAATAAAAGTTTAATCTAGCTATTATTTCCCACTACTCAGGGAACTTCCACAGTGATTTGACATAATTTAACATCAGTGGAATTACCACCCACTATACTGAATCATGGACATTAAGCATACAAGCCAACCTAGTTTAAACTACAGGTACCACAATGTGTGAAAATGTGTGTACATACATGACTAGCAGCATTCCTCAGAGAGGCAATGGTGTTCTCTTGAACTTTAGCAAGTCTGAAATAACAGCAAATAAAAAGGTGTTGTTAGATGCAGCACAGCACTGAAGTCCACTGAAACAACAGAAATACAAAACAAAACAGTTTTTGTTTTGGAGACCACTCACATTTCATATTGAAGTGACTTGAATGACCACAGGCTGCAGCTTTTTAAAATGTCCGCTTCCTGAACTGATGTCAGTGAAACAAAACATAATTGCCCCGGATCAAAACAGAAACAAACTTACTTAGCTGTTGTTGTAGAGTTTCCTGCTCCCCTGTGTCCAACATCTAGAGTTGTTCTTGGTTTCCAATATTTTGCATATGAAGCCTTCATATCACAAGTGTATCCCTGGATCGGTTTAATAACTATGTAGTCCACTACAAGAAAAACACCAACACTTCCCATGTCAACAGATAATGGATCACTTCAAGTAAAGTTATCTACATCTGTTGTTTGTGTCAGCTGTACCTCTAACTTTTCCAATTGTCTTCCTTGGGTTTCTGCTCATAATAGCAAGTGTAATAATTCCAGCACTCTTCCCAAGTTCTTCAATTGTTGATGACAGGAGGCAGGCAGAACCTACATGGCCTGGGAGCGCATCACCTTGTACTACCTTCTCACCTAAATTTTCCTAAAAATGAAAAGAAAAACAAAACAAAACAAAAAACAATCAAACCAAAACACTTACTGTTATATGTAGGTGAGAATTCTAAACAAACTCTTCTTCCTTGCTCCTCAGGAAGATACAAACAGGCACTGATGTAACAAGTCTCTTGTGCATTCAGAAAATGCTACTTTCAGACTGAAATTGTTTAACACAATGTGTTGCAAATTACTACCAGTAATATGAAAATCTTGATGGAAATGTAAAAAACTCACAGTTGTCTTTGAAAACTTAGATTTGACAAGCTTTTCAGGTCAAAACTGCATGCATGAAATAGTCTGTCTTCTAAAAAGCCCATGTCATATTTAGAACAAAAATTAACTGGAATAACATACATGCTTAAAATAACTTGGTATTCATTTCCAGGGAAGGGGAAGGCAACTGATACGTAGAACATGCACTTGACCATAGTCAAGGAACTATGTAGACACTTTACAGTTATAAGTGTAAGTGATTTTCAGACCAAAGAGAGAATGCTTAAAACCTTCTTCTGCATACACAGTACAAAGAGATAAAAAAGTTGTTTTCTTTTAAAATGGACTCTGAATATTAGGATCTTTCGGGGGGGGGGGAAATACAGTGCAAAATAACAGATAGAGCAATGAGAATCCAGGTTCAATTTGCACTGGTTAGTTCAGAGAAATCTCTTCTGCTTATAACATAAAAATTTAGATTAAATAATTGTGATATAACTAGTTCATATACACATTGTTCAGGATCAAGTAGGAGCTGCAAAACTTAGCTCTGGTAAAGGGATAAATATCAAACCAACCTAACTATAATACCACACACAGAGATTTGAGTCTAATTTGTACTGACATCTAAATAAGCAGAACTGAAAACCTTTCTGTGCTATTAAGGAGACTGATAAAACCTTTCTGCAAAATGGGCTGGGAGCCAATAGTCTCATACTTGTGTAAACAAATCCAGCAGATCCAGTAATATCAGGCAGTGGCCCTGTTTCAACAGTGAAACCATCACAATAATTCAGTTTAATTCTCAGAGGCAGACTGGAGCTGCTTCTTAGGGGTAAATAGACATACCTCAAAAAAATCAAAGATTAATTCCAAGTTATCAGGCTCCATGGTTTGTATTGTGTATTCTATCCATCGGTCTGGCTGCAAGGCATAACCACAGTCTGGCTGAGTGTGTCGACATTTATAGTCATTATTACTTATTAAGGAGAACTCCACAGTGTTTGCCATTTTCTGAGGTACAGTAGGGGATGTTTTCTCTTGGCCCTCTTCATCATCCTCATCTTCCTCTAGGCCTTCTAGGGTCAATTTAACCCTGTTCAACCAGAAATATGAAACAAACGGTTAAGTCACAGAAGTTTCCTTGAAAATTATAAAGAATTAGAAAGAAGGTCATACAATACAGGAATTCATCTCAACTTCTCCATCTGTAGGACAGCATTACATGCAGTGGGTCCTCATAAGAGTGAAGAGTTCATAGCCCTTGCCTAAATCATACTTCAGTCAGATTTAAGTGCTCAAGTCACTGCTAAAACTTGAGCTTGGATAAATATGAAAATTGTCCTAATGGTCTGAGAAGCAGCACTTCACCAAACTATCTGGGCTGCCAAATAAATAGCCTTCTTCCACAGATTGAGACTGATACCCATAATGCCAGAAGGCTAACAAAAAGCACTGAAAACAGCAGTAATCATCAACATCAAGACTTGAACATTGGTGGCTGCTGCTAAACACACCCAGAACTTTATGTCTCTACGAACAGTGATAAGGCAGATAAGTACACTCTATTAGACATAAGTAATATAGCCTGAAGTAATTAAGTCCCTTGAGAAATCCTAAATGATCATTTAAACTGAATATAATTTCTGAAAAATTCTGAACTGAGAGGAATGAACCTCCCTATGAGATTCAGAATTATTATGCAGAGCAAACCTTCCACACAAAGTGAGTTATCTCAGTGACATAAGCTATAACAAGCAAGGAAAAAAGACAAAGCTCGGGAGAGTGCACTGTAAGTATTAATTCTTAATTATTAAAGTTTCCATTCATCAGAAGTTGGAATTGGTGGGAGGGGGTATCAAAATTGAAAAATGAACATTAAGAAATCAAGTATCACAGAATCATCGGATGGGTTGGGTTGGAAAGGACCTCAAAGATCATCCAGTTCCAATCCGCTGCCATAGGCAGGGACACCTTCCTAGGAAAGATAAGTTAAACAGTTTCCACTTGACAAGGCTGAAATTAACAGCAGAGAATTATGAAGTTCCATCCAAAAAGCAAGAAACAAAAAGACAAGCATGGAGTAAGTATTTGTGCTTAGATACTTCAAAAGTAGCCTAATAGTACACTCCTATTAGCAACCCAGAATTACTTTAAAGGTTACATTAATTAAGTAAAGAAGAAACAGTAGTATTGACAATTAACATCAGGTAAATTGCACACTGAGATGAGCAGGCTCTTACCTAAACCTTGATGTTTTAAATTTCTTCTTAGATATCAGTACAGGTGGTTTCTCAGAATAATGCAGACGTAATCTTATTTCTGTTTGACATGTCAGCCACCCAGCATCCACAGTTTCAATACCATCTGTCAAAAATCAAACAAAAGTAGTAGACACTTTAGTAACTTATTTTAGGGAGATCTAGACGGTTGAATATACAAACATAGAAATATAGTTCCTCTAATACCACCTTCCAGACAATCTCCCTTATCACTAGCTTATCCTAACAATATTTCAAGAGCAATTGTTGAGTGCATCCTTTCACCAGTGTTTCTGAACCACACAGAACAGAAAACAGATACTGCACTTCTAAGGGTATTAAACAGGAACAATGATTATGTGTACACTGTCTGCAGGAGAGCACCAAGTGTTAATTTTAAACACGCTATCATGGGCTAAATTAAGCCTCCAAAGGCAAACATAACATTCCTTTGTCCTGGGATCTCTCAATATGTGGAATAACACTGGGAACTCTGAAGATTCATAAGCAATTAGAGGCTCCCTGTTTCTGTTGAGATACAGGTGTTAAATGAGCTCACCAAAATCAATGCCAGTAAAGCTGTGTAAGTCTGCAGGACAGGGAATAGCAACAGTTTTGGTGGGGAAACAAAGCATGGAGGAGAATCCTCAACCTCACCATCAGGACAAGGAAAGCCTACAAGCAGCACGACCAGCAAGCACAAAGCCACCAAACCAGGTGCTGAAGCAGACCCCACAGTTTTGAAGAGTTCCCAGCTAAACCTCTGGTTTGATGAGGATATGAGGAGAAAGGGAAGGGCTTTAAGACAAGATGTATAAGATAAAGAGTTACCTTAAGTGTCACAGGATTGAGAGAGAGGAGGGGTCAGAAGTGCCAGAAATGAGACACATATGCACACAAGGTCTGGGCTGATAAGAGCCTTTTGGCAGTTACATGTCTAACTGAGGAGGCAGACTGTGTACATTCAGTGCCAGTGATAACGTCCTTCTGGGCATGAAGAGTTTTTCTAAGTTAGGTATTAAGAGAAAGCTAAGTCTATTTTGTATTTCCAAAAATATATGCTCATGACTTAAAACTTGCCAATTTCAACCTTTAACCGCATCAGAGTGACAACATTTCAACTCTTCTCAGAAGTCTTGTGTTAACAGTAGAAGGGATTAAAGCCTGCATGTGAATTCACAAATGCTGGACACAAAAATAACTGTATAAGCAGAGAAAACAATCACAGGCAAATCTTAAAACTTATGATTTCAAATATTTTTCAATTACACGACTTAATCTTGTTTAAATTAAATTTATGGTAAAGAGTAAAGGTCAATATGTCTCACTTACTATGGATTCCAAAGAAACCATCGTCAACAGTAATTTCATCTTCTAGAATTAAAAGGAGGGGAAAAGAATAAAAAAAAATCTAATTAGTATTCACATTTTAAAAAATCATTGCCAAGTTAAATTAATTCTACTTTTCCACCGCACTTCTAAAAAGTGTATCTAAAAAAGGCAAGAAAACTGAAACAGACAAAGAAGCATGTTTTTTGCAACCTTCTACAAAGATTTATCCCAACTTAGGCTTTTTCTTAGTTTCTGCAAGAAAAAACAGTCAACACACAGAATGCCATGTTTTACCTAAAGTAATCTGAACTGAGAAGAGCGAGAAGGTTGCATAATTTTCTGGTTTGCTGCAGTATTTTACTGATATCTACATCCTACTAGTATCTAAGATGCTTTACTTGCCAAGGTAATGCCAAGGACATTAAAGTTTCTTGCTAACATACAAGAAAGTTATCCTCCTGCACATTTATAGTTCAAGCTGTTAAATCAAGGGAGTCACGATTAAAATGCTTATTCTGCCCACATGACAGAAACCAGCCTAGCATGAAATATTCAAAACACTCAGGTCACACTCACTTTTACCCTTACCCTATCCAAAGTTTTAATCACTGAAATCTTAAGGCACTAAGGAAATTCACCAGCATTAACAGAACTGCAGTAGTCTAAACAAACCACACATTTCTCAAAACGTAAATCTTCACAGATTTTTGCCTCTACAGTAATTAATCCCTTTTTTTTTCCCTAAGAAGAATCATGGGCCTGACCTCATTTTTTAATAACCACAGCCAACAATTCAGGATCATAATGACCCAGTACTAACATACTGGGTTTGCTGCATTTTCTTAAAGATGAAGCACTGAGTACTACTTGTGGGGAAAAAAATAATACTCCTAACTATTTGGAATAAGATTATCTAAATATGAGAAAGTCTAGACCCTAGTACAGGATAGGCTGCTTCCCTTGTCAGTTACTGGTAAATATAGAAACAATCTTGCAGGAATAGAAACACACAACTAATTCAACTGAAATAAAAAGCAAAAAAAAAGGGGCAGGGGCAGGAACATGATCATGGTACTACACATGATTAAAAACCAGTTTATTTAATACCATCTTCTTTCTAAAAGACATTATTTGAAATCAATAAGTTTTTAACAGATGTGAAATAAACGTGGAGGAAATACTTTTCATATCCTAGCAAACACATTGCATAAAACATGCCATCCCATAGCACCACAAGAGACCTAAACTACAAGCTACTTTCAAAGGTTATTTCAGTCTCTCTCACAACTCCAGCTTTTTCCCTGTTCAGAAAAGCATTAGTAACTTCAAGTCTGCATGCCACCTTTTCTTCCAGAATAATACATTTCTACTAAATTGCCAGGTAAATAAGTCCATTCACATTTCTATTTACATCAATCCATTTACTTAAGGAAGCCTTATTAAAAATTTTTGGTTTAAAGTTTTACTAATTATTAAATAGTACTTAAACAAAACAAGCTTCACACCCTCCCCCCCCCATTTTCTCTAAAAACATAATATGGATCCTTAGTCTCAAAGAATTAAACTTACAGAAAATTATTACAATTCCAAATCAATAAAAAAAACAACTCACATAATCTTAAGGATGACAGCAAAGAATTTCAAATCCACTCCATTTTTAAGCCACTTACGAATACTTACATTTTGAGAGTAAGGCCCATGTCGTGCAAAGAAAAAAGTCTATACCTCCCACACATTAATAAATTTAAATATTTTAAAACTATACTTATCAATCCCTCTAAACCAGTGTGCAGCATATTAGTAATCTTATGCATATGCCTCAAACAGATGCAGTTGATGCCCATACCTAAAGGGGTAATTGATCGTGGTTGCAGATGAGTCTCCCACGTGTGAACTATGACTTCGCAGGGACCATCGATAGTCTGTAATTTAAAAGTTAAATGTCTGCAATAGTTTTATTTTTTTTTTTTTGGTTATATCTGATTTTCTACCCATGAACCTGTTTGGGATGGTCATGAACTCAGCTTAAGAGATTTAAGGAAGAAAAAGTAGAAGGAGAAGAAAGAGAGGGGAACAGAGACAGAGAACGAAAGAGAAAAAAGAAAACAGATCAGGCTTCTTATCCCTGCAACTTGCTGATGGCACTACCTGATGTGTTGCATTTACATATGAGAAAACTTGTGACAGTGTGACATGGTGGAGAAGTTACACGGAATTATTAAATCTTTACTGCTTACAGCTATTCCACTGGACTACCTTAGTGTCTCTGAACTCATTAAGGGAGCTTGCTTTTTTCTCAAGATACTACAGTAACAGTTTATGAAAAAACATACTCCACATCTCTAATTTCAAACAACATTCAGCATCTGCTCATGCAGGTAGCAGTTGCAGGGGTGGGTTCTCCTTCAAAATTTGCCTGCCTAATTCAAAGTCTGTAAACACCGTTATTTCAGTTGTGGTAGAGAAGAGCAAATTATTTAGCATCTAATCAAAACACAAATATTTGATCCAATCAGACAGCAATGAAGCCCTTGCAGTCTATTCCAGTTGGAGCAAGATAAATCAGATTCTTTCATTTAAAAAAAAAAAAAATTACTGCCCACCAGAAGAGTACATCTGTTGACAAACATAGCCAAGACTCAGAGAGAGAATCAGAACAGTAACTCAATCTCTTCTTTCAGAACAATTTAAGTTTGAAAAAGCTTTCTAGGTTAAAGCTTTCAAGTAACAAACACTTAATAGAAAGAACATGCCTGATTCCCAGCTCAGTCACCCTAAGAAGTTTCCCTTAGCAGGGTGTGGTTGTTAGTCTCAGAGGTAAAAACCACTGTCAAATAGCTGCAGTTTGTCATTTTGGTGTTTGGGCCTAAGTAACTCTTGATTTCCAAAAAGACTTGCTTCTATTGCCAAAGTTTTGCAAGCTTCAATTCCAACTTGCCCCAGCACTTCAGGTTCTTGTTTAAACACATTTCAGATCCACAGGGACATCCAGACAAGCTTCAAACTCAGTAGGGTAATTACAAAGTACCATAATGCTTCGTTATATTACAGCTCACCTAATAAACCCTTTACAAGCAGATGGGATTTCTTGACATATATTAAACACATTTAATCTGTCATGTTTTTGGATGAGTTAACAAACACCAAATATCTAAAAAGTGCTCAATAAGACAGGTTTACTGTGAGCCTTAGCTAAAGCAATTTTCCTAATGAGTTCAGAGGCATCCATACTTACGGGTCATGTCAGAATAAAATACATATGCTTAAAGTTATGTTTTAAAGACAGAATGCATGTAAATATAAATAAAGATACTATTGCTTTCAGTTTATTCCTGTTACAGGGCAGTTTTAATTCGCATTTTCTGACAGCTGCCACAGTGATCACCCTTAGGATATCTAGAAAAGTAAACGATGAGAGGTTTCTTTCCCTTTCTTTCACAGCACCTTCACACTTGCATTTTGCAATCACAGTTTCTAAAGCTGAAAACCATGTTTGCCATCAGGGAGGCTGCCTTTTACTAACACCATGCAGGCATGCAAGCTCTCCAACAGCAACTCCCATGAACACACACAGAACTCGTAGTTTGTGAACCCAGGGAATGCAAGTCAGTCCTAACATGGATTGTTTTCTTCAAAAGGTTTTTTTCCTTGTAAAAACCCCCAACATACTGCATGAAAATACCAGTTTATTTCTTACACTACTGTAATTGTCCATTTTAATTTTAGGTTCTAAAACGATGAATGAGAATTCAAATAACATTATCCCCAACAATAAGCACACCATGCTGGACACGTTCAGCAAAATTTCATCTCCTGAAAGGAATACAGTGGACTGATTGTGCATTTAATCCCAGGAACCCTCAACACTTTCCATACTAAGAAGAGCCAAGCAAAGCTACCTGGAAAAAAAGGGCAATGGATTAGAGAACAGGCACAACATGACCAAGAACCCTCTCAATCCCTGCTCAGATTATCTCTGAATTTATAGGCATTTAAATAATGTTTTAATTACACATAACAGAAGCCATTGTTAAAATGAGGTTAAAATACTGATGTAATTCCAGTGGCATATACTGACCACATTTGAAAGGCAGCCCAGTTCAGCAGCAGGAGTAAATGATGTGTCATCAATATTCATAGCATGGTAATGTTACCCAAAAAGAGATTCTCTGCTGGGACAGTCTTACAAGGGTATCTATCCAAATGTCACGTCAAGCATCTCAGTGGGCAGTACACTGAGATTATAGTAAATGGCACTGCGTGGCATGGATCTTTTTCTACTAATACAGACATTTATTTTTTTCAAAAGCAAACACAAAGATTACGTTGATTGATTTTTATTATCTGAACATCTGGTGCAATTTTAAAGCTTTGAAGGGACACTCAAAAGAGTTTTCTTCAAAAATCCAGCCCTCTTACATTACGAGAAGCCAGGGCTTCCCCAGTAGTCATTACAGACTTCTGAAATTAAGGGTAAAATGCTTATCTGGCATAATGTTCCAGAGGTTCAAAGCAACCTGATGCACAATCTGCATGAAGCGCTTGGGTGATCGGTATAATTAAAAAATGAAAACACTCCCATGAATGTTTAAATGATAATTTAAATGACAATCTGGGAGTTCAGTTCCAAAGTTCCTGATTCAAGGCAACACAACACAGTAGGCATCAGGGGAAAAAAAAAAACAACCAACCAAACAAAAAAATCTTAAGACCATCACATAAATGCATTTATCCAACTGCACTTTACTGATTAAAATAATATTCTACTTCAAGAGTATAAAACAGCTAAATTAGACTTAACTGCTGATGTTACATTTCTGACAGAAATCTCTTTGGATTTCTGTACCATGTAAGAGACAATAATTAAGCAAAGAACTAAACAATTAACAAAGCCATTCAGCCATCATAACTGAGGTGCAAGGCAACACAACACATCAGTCACCTGCCAGGAAGTCCTGAGCTAAATAGAGATTTTATAACTCTAGTATTTTGTAACAGTTTAACACACAATCTGCTGTCTAAGCACAGTCATGGCAGAGGTGTTCCTTTGTTATTATCAGGATAATTACGGGTTATTATTTCAGGAAAAGCATTTTTATATTAAAGAAATTACTGAGTCTAGGTCTAAGTTTCGCCTTTGTTACTACAGTCCAGGCACTAAACAGATTTATTTACTTACATTAAAAAAAGCAAATTTAACTCTCATTTGAAACATCTATAATTAAACAGCATTCTCACAAGCGTGAAAAATATTCCCCAATCCCCTTTTTAAAGTCCTTCTACATGCACAGATATTTCATACTTGCCTTGAAAGAAATAACCCTAACCTTGCATGCTTATTTACTGTTGGAAGAACAAATACAGAACAGTTTAACAGAATAAGGTATGTTCCTTACTAAGGTTTTCAAATATGACCCATGCAAATGATGCACGTAAAATTATTCTCCTAAAACATCAGATATAAAGAAGACAAATTCCAAACAAGGGTGTTTTTGGGGGGTCTCACTCACACCCCTCCATTTCTGCCTCCACGACAAACAGAAGGTATGTGTAGAATAAAACATAGGAAGATGCTCACAGTGAGCTAACTGGTACCAGACTATGTTTAAGGAAAGAACAAACTTCAAACAAAATAGTTACAGTCTTATTCCATCAAGTGTATGCATTTATTTTTCTTTTTAAATGCTTAAGCTGATTTTTATCATCAAAATATTTACAAAATAGTAGTATCTCCCAACATGCAGGAGCCAAGACCCGGTACCAATTTTATTATAATGTTCTTTGCACATATATTATTTGTATTCATGCAAAAATCCTATTAATTTTAATACTTTTTTTTAAAAACTGCTCCATTTACATAACTACAATTATGTTAACACCAACATGCTTCAATGCAAACTAACTAAACTTCCTATTACATCATACTGTCCTTCAAGTATAAAAATATACAGAGATCAAATAATGGCTTTTTCAAATGTTGGTGAGAAAAATACTTTCCTGTGTGTTTTTTTTTAATGAAATGTCAATTATTCTGCCTATTTTCACATCTAGCCTGTAGCAATATTATGGATCATATGGGAACTATAATTTCCCTGTGTAAACATGTATCACCCTCATCTTTGCCACTCAAAGCACCTTCCAACTCAAGCACCTTCACAGATGCAGTAGCTATAGAAGGGAACACTAATTGCAGCTGGATCTGTCTTCAGCATGAGTTATTAAGTTATGTGATGTAAAAATCATAACACTCAGACTTCGGTATATGTTAAAGATTACACATGTATCTGTTATTCTATTACAGACCGTGGCACACAAAAATTGCAGATATAAAAAGTTAACAGTGTTTGAGAGATCATATATTGCAAGCCTGTCAAATTTAGGAGCTTAATCACATGCAATGCCTAGTAAAAAAAATTCATGAAATAAAAATATTCTGAATAATTTAACTTAGAAGTATCTTTTCCTTATCAGATCTGGTAAAGTTCTCCATATACTGTCTCATTGGCACTATTCTCTGCATGATATTCCTGTTAAAAGCAAATCCTACATTTTCATTGTTCTTCAAAACTTTACAGAAAGTGGAAGAAAACATTCTATCTGGACTTCTTTTCTTCAAAAGACTTCATGATACACGAAATAAAGCCCTGTGCACTTAAGAGGTACAAGCTAAATGGATAACCCTGTACCCTGGCAATTCACACACTGTGCTTTGGAGGGTGGGTTTTTTTTTTTTCCTGCTTTTTATATACAGTAGCTCTTTATGCTGGTATTCCATAAAATTCATACTTACCTTGGCAGACTCTGCATCACACGGTACATAAAGTGTGCACGATACAGAGCACCTACTTAAAGAAACACACTCACCAATACATATTGTAAACTTTTTCAAATGGTAAAACAGAAATTGTATTGTCTATGAGCACATTTTTCTGCCGATTTCTCACTAACTGCGCTTTTTTCTAGTGTGTTATTGCTTACATTTTTAACTTATGGACATTTGCAAAAAAAAATACATATATATATAAAAGAGTCCCATCAGAGTTGCTAGGTTGTAAGAATTAATCTACTTTGGCCTTATACTGACCTCAGGAAAAGAAAATCTATTACCAGCATTCCTTTATTTTGCCTCAAAGAACCAATTCAAATACCAGTTTCAGACTAGACTATTTCACATGCTGTAACGAAAATAACTCAGAATTGTGTTTCATTTGAAATTAGTGTCCTTCACTGAAATGATACTTCTGTCAAATATTTTTTCAGGGAAAAACAGGCTAGTACGGCTGAGAAAAAATTACATGCTCTTGACAGTAATTCAAAATACTTAAAAGATATAGACAAGATGATTCTATAACTCCTTTGCACATTTAGTTACAGCCCTCATAATCCAAATTTCCATGAAGAACTACATCCCAGGGTACACAGCTACAGGATATTAATAGAATAAGAAAGACAGCAAAGGTAGCTGCTTAAGTTACTACTTGTTATTAAGAAAAACAGTTAAAGAGTAGCTGCTTATTTTTCCAATTTAGTCCATCATTTTTCTAGATGCAGCCTCATCCCTTCTGAAGAACTTCCCCCTACCCTAGTGTGATCCTTACAGACCAGTATACTGCCACATACATTCAACTCTAATTCACATACATTCAAGTCACATGCAACTTTTACATCAATACCTGTAAAAACACATCTGTGTTTGTCTCATAGGTTTTTTTTTTCCCCTCCAAGTCATGCAAATACCTATATACAAACATCTAGGAAACACTGGGATGCCCTGCTCCTTGTTTCATCTTTTGATTCCAAGAGATTAACCTGTTAACTATGCAGTACAAAAGCTAGTTAATACTTCTCGTGCTTCACAAAGAAAAAGCTGCACTGATTTTAAAAACTGTAGTAATTAGGCAAACTTAAATACACCTCCTACACCAACCATTTCTCTCCTGCTACCACTTGCTTCCACGCTAGAGATCCTTGCCCTGCTGAAGTCCATATTCAATTCTAACTATGAGAATCTCACCATATCATTTAAGCTTTAATAATATCAGGTATATCGTTAGGACTGATTTTTTTTTAATGCACTAACACTGGTGAAAGAGAGAAGTCAATTTAACAAAAATAACTGAAGTTAACAGCACATGGTTATGTATTTCCAGAATTGAACTGCTTGTATTTCCACAACTGTTTTAACATTTCATATGTTGCAATTTAAGATTTATTTCTAAAAAAACCTCATGTTTTAACTGAGAAGTCCTTTTTATTTCAAATAAGGGAATTTTTACTAGGGATGAACCAACTTAAACCAGAAAATGTTGTACATACCTTAGGTTCTAGGAAGTATCCTTTAAAATATCGATACTGAACAGGAACTCCTCTAGGAAGCTCTACAGTAACTTTCCATGACTGACTGTGGAGAAAAGAATAAACAAACAAACAAACAAACAAACAAACAAGTTTAAAAATACAGTCTAAAAGCCACCTCAGATGTATGTCTAAGTGATATTCTAAAATAAAATCTAGTGTCTTGCTGAAGGAAAGTTATTACAAGGTAACTTAGCCAAACACGAGTAAAACACAACAAATACTTAGAATTGAAACTACAGATCTGAAGTGTGCTAACAGTGATAACTTTCATCCTCATTTAACAGATGGGGAAAACACAATGAAATAATTCAGAGACTCATCCAAGATCACACAGCAAGTCACTGACAGAATTATAAATACATCCTGCAAGCCCTATTTTCCTGAATCATACGAACTGCAATAAGGTAGCACCATTGCAAGAAAATACTGAATTTCTCCACTGCATTTAAACTTTCTTCATATACACTCATGCTTATAAACACATCTTCTAAAAGTTTTAATGCAAACTCTCATTTTAAAAAATCTTCAATCTTCTCCCCATCACTTTATAGCCATAATATTAACAACTCGTTTATAGTGTTTACTTTCTTTTTAACCTGTATATCTCCTACAATTTGCTGTGTACTTATGGGACTGAGAATTACCCCATAGTAGTTTCTCATTCAAAATACCCACAGGTAAACTAGTGAAATGCCAGCCACAACAGTAGAAGCAACATCCAGAAAAACACACACAAGCTAAAAGTTTTCTCGAACACATTCTTAAGCATCCAAAATGCTCAAGGGCAACACAAGAAGTTCTGGAATTTTACTAACAGTACATGTTTACAAACACAAACTCAGAATAAATTTGTTGCTCCAGAACTCGAGCTACTTCAGATGGAACAAATAAAAACAAGTAAATAAATAAAGGCAAGGAAAAAAACCACAAAACAAGACCAGGAAACCCCACACCCAACTTACCGATCAATAGTCTGGAGGACCACAGCAACTTGTGGATTCCAATTTCCCAAAGCACTGCAGCTCCCACATATTGCAAAAACCTCTCCTGAAGAAAAACAAACAAAAAAACAAACAGACAGACAATAACTCACAATTATCATTACTCCAGTATCTGTGGCATTAGTAAGTACAGCATACACAGTCAAACCTTCAGATATTTTCAATGTACATGCCAGAATCACCCATCTAAAATTCCTTTTTTTCATTTCAGAAAGGAATTTTCCCCTACCCAAAGCTACAATAGCTTTTTCTTCACTACCATAAGGACCTCACTGAGAGAGGGACTACTGAGAACCCCATCCCTTAAAAGGGTTGGCTTCCAAAATTGTTCTGAACTAATACTGGAAATGCAGCAGGCAGATTTTCACTGTAAAATGTTTAATGTCAAGATAACGCATTTTTTTCCTAGATATTCTGCATTTTTTTAACCCATGTACAGATACACACACAGTACTAAGTAACCTACATGTTCAAAAGCGCAATTCTCTCAAATTCACACCAACAATTTAGAAAGCACAAACTAGGAGGTTGCTAGCATTATTCCCAAGGCAACACATCCAATTAATGTGATTTCCAAAAGAAATAAAGTTAATTTTGCTGCTCTGCTTTCAGCTTTTATTGAATATCAAAATGTTAACACTGTTACACAAAAAGACTCACATGAAATTGTCACACTGTGTGTGTCTTAGTGCATGTATATATATATACACATACAGAGTCCAGAAGATTGTAATAGTATATTTTTCACTCTGGTATATCCCAGAATTAAAGTTACCACTGCAACTTACCCTTGTTTTTAATATAAAACCTGTACGTATCAGTGTAAGAATAACAACAATGACACATACTAATGGAAAGGACAGATTTGTATTTTGCTCTTACATGGTTTCAACAAGATTTTTAGACACAAGAAAAAAAAAAAAAAGCCTTGGCAGAATGAGCAAATGTTAAGTTTTAAAGTATATTCAGGCACCACAAAAGAATGATACAAGTACCTATGATGGTTGTTTCCTGTTCTTAAAGAGGGGAAAGCAGTAGCACTTTGGAGCCACAAATAATCCATTGTGTTGGAACCACAAAAATCCATAGATACAAAGTAGACAAGCTATATGCAACAAATGTACACCACCTTTTACTAAGCCAGGTATCACAGCTGGAAGGTTAAAGTCCAAAATAAGTCTGGAGGAAGCCCTCATACCCCTAAAAGTGTGTCCATTCTTTCCAATTAAACTAATAAGAGATACCACCAGGACTGTTTATGAAAGAAACCTCTGCAGATCCAGGGGTTGGGGGGGAAAAAAAAATCTACAAAAGCCAAAAATTAAGTAATTTGTTCCTAAAAGCAGTTTACTGAAATAATTTTAGATAACATCTTGAATTCCAATCCTTTAACAAAAATAAAAAATCTTCTGTTGCAATTCACTAGAAAAAAAAGCCCAAGCTTTCTGGATGCTCACTGTAGGCATACAAATGCAGACAAAAATCTGCATTATCAGTATACTTACTATGCAATTCACTGCACACAATTGCCAGTGTCAGGTGCTTTCCCTTTTCCACCCTGTACTGAGCCACATGATGGGTTTGCTTTTGCAGGGAGGAGATAAAGGGGGAAGACCACCTGAATACCACACAGGTAGAATTTCTGACTGCAGATATTAAAAAGAAGCAAAAATTCTTTTAATATCCCTTTAAAATAGCAGTACTTAATCCATCCTAGTGTAAACACCAGACAACTTGGACGCGTCATCGAAATTATGTTCCTCTTAACAGGAGCCAGTTGGAATAGTTTTCCAGCCTTCTGTTTTAAACAAACATTCAGTAACTATTGCTCACTCAATACACAAGGTAACATTTGAGTATGATGCAGAGTCACCCCTAAACTCCCTTCAACAATGAGGCTGAATCAGGATTTGTAAAACACTGCTTAAATTACCTCAGTAAAGGCACAAGTGAAATGCGTGATAAACTGCCTTTTCACAGGCAATTCTTAACACCGTGGGGTTTGCTTTGGGTTTTGTGTTCTAAGATCAGGGGTTCTAAACTTCTCCCTTCCCCTTGTCAGGGAAGCCAAGGCTGCTACTGGCAGAGCTCCTTCAGCTGCAGCAAGGGAAGCTTCTCTAAGCCTTCTGCCCAGTCCCAAAGCTTGCAACAGCTCTACTGATGTTGCAATCTGCCTGTTTGGGTCAGCTGTGTGGGGGCAGAACTTCTGTGTTCGGCTGGGAGCGAGAAGCTCCCTTATTTATCTCATAACACCTAATCTGCCACCAAGCAGTTTCTTGATATGGGACTGTGTCCTGATGAAGAGCTAAAGGAGTCACAAGCCAGTAACCAGTGACCCTCTTCCTTCTGCTAAAATGAGGCAAAAAGAAGCACTCCATGACACAAATATACAAAAGCCTGCACACCAATGTGTTGGGCTTCATCACCAATGTTGACTCCAGAGGTGGTTTGGCTGGAAGGAGCAGCAGTCAGAGCATCATTCCTGTGCTGGTGATGCCCTTCTGTCCTACTAGCCCTGGAATCATGGGTTTTGACACCAACAATGAGAGACAGTGATCAGGACACAGGGAGCATGTCAGTGCTCAAAGTGACGCTCTTTATCTCACCAACTAACTACTCACCATAGCGATGTGACAAAATCAGCACCTGACATTTCTAAACAAACTGGAAATTCTGCTGATTGTAGAACTGCTGATAGCTCTGAAACTTACCTCTCTTCTTTCATGAGACTGCATCTTGACAATGCTGCATCTCAGAGCTCTTCTCCCAGGTCAAAACCAACAATATCAATACTGTCATTAGGAGAAGCAACCTTCTGTGTCAATTCTTTTTGCTATACATGTGATAAGTATTTCCAGATAATTCTTTGTAAACAGCTGCTGAGGTGGGATCTAGTTCTCACTGACCCTACTTTTTCTTGTAAATATTCTAAGTACAAGAGAAAAGTTACCCATTCAAAGTCAACTTTGTTAGTGACAGTGCCATCACAACTGTGGAAGCAACAGTGTAAACAGGATGGCTTGCAACACTCCACTGTATAGTCAAACTAGTGCTTTATAATTGCATTTGATCTAAGGTCAACATATTCTTTAATTTTAAAGTTTTCTCCAGAATGCTATAAAAACACTACTCCTTACTAAAGGCTTTATGTCCACATCGTGTGTCAGTTTTCTGTTCCCAAATGCCGAATCACAAGGGAGAAACACCGGGCAGATGTCAAAACTTGTAAAATGTTTTTATCATTTTCTTCCCCACCAACTAGAGTAGACACTTATGACATGCCTGTCTCAGGAATTTTGCCAATCTGTACATGCTCCCATATTCATCTGCTTCTGTGAGGCAACCATCAGTGACTTTTTGGTGAACTTCTGTGCTGGGTTTGGCACAGAAGTGCCAAGTTTCTTCACAGTAGCTAGTACAGACTACGTTTTGAATTTGTCCTGGAAACAGTGTTGATAACAGAGGGATATTTTGGTTAGTGCTGAGCAGTGCTCACAGCACCAAGGCCTTTTCTGTTTCTCACTCCACCCCACCAGAGAGGAAGCTGGTGGCACACAAGAAGCTGGGAAGGAACACAGCTGGGTCAGCTGACCCCAGTGACCCCAAGGATATTCCAGACCGTACAACACCATGTTCAGCAATAAAAGTTGGAGGGAAGAAGAAGGGGGGACATCTGGAGTTACACCACTTGCCTTCCCAAGTAACTTCCCTGGGGATGGCTGAACACTTCCCTGCCCATGGGAAGCAGCAAGCGCACTCCTTGTTTTGTCTTGCTTGCATGCACAGCTTTTGTTTTCCTTATTAAACTGCCTTTATCTCAACCCATGAGTTTTCACTTTCACTCTTCTGATTCTCTCCCCTATCCCACTGGGGGAAAGTGAGCAAGCAGCTGTGTGGAGCTTAGTTACCAGCTGTGGTTAAACCACAACACCTTTCTTCAGGGTTCCAAAGATGCAGGTCAGCGTATATACGCACAATCTATAAACATTAAATCTTTTGATCTGATACCTTGTGTTCCTCATTTCAATTACAGAAGTTATTTTACACATTTTTGCATAGATAGAGTACTGAATTAAGCTGCATATTCTTTCTGTCCTCATCTCCTAGTAGAGTTCACATCTTGTGAGAAATTTCAATGGGGATGTAGAGAGAATAAAAAACAGAACAAACACATCAACACATGCCTGTCATGGTTCAGAATACAAACATTCATTTCCATGGAATAAAAAGGTACTAGAGACAGAAGATTTTCAACCAGTCATAACCATTTCAGTGAGCATTAAAATCTCTAGCACGGTATGAAATTGTCGGGAGAAGGAGGTAAAAATTATTTCCCAGCTCTCATTTTCAAATTCCTATGTGAAATTTCTTAATTACGTTATTTTACAATGACTTTTTTAGATATTTGAACTGACATGTTCTTTTACCTCTGAGGAAAACAGACACGACAGCCTTTGAACACTCAACTATTAAGTTTTCTTCTAGGTAAACCATACATAAAAGAAAGCATGATTTGGGTACCTGGTTCTGCTGTTCCTTTTACTTCAAAAGTCACTTGAGAAGAGGTCATATCTGCAGAACTTTTGTCTTAGGACAGCTGAAATCTCCTATAGTGGGAGGAAAAAGATACTACATTTCAGGAACAATCACCACATCTATTACTCTCCTAAGTAAGAGAAAACATTAATCCCACCACTTATAGGGATGAAAGCCACTAGTGATATTACTGTTTGAATGAGCAGTCAAAATAAATACAAAGTTCTTTAAAAACCAGCAGCAGACCCAGGAAAGAGCATCCAGCTGCAGAAGACACTGTTGCAACACTGCTACAAAAAAAAAAAAAAAAAAAAAGAAAAAGACTACTAAATCAAATACCATATGCAGGTATCAGTATCATGCAGCACTCATCAGTATTCAGTCCAGATTTTTCAAAACCCTTTTTGACTAATTTTGCTCCCAAAGAGGCCACTGGAAGTTTTAAGACATTTAATATCGTGACCTTCAGCACACGGTAACTTGTCTCATCTATGCTATTCTTCAGCATCCTCTCCAAGTTTTCACAGAGAAGCACTACAGTTACTTGCTCATCATCATGGACTCTGCTCCCCTACTTCCAGTGAATCACCATACAACCAGACGCACCAAACACTCTTCAAAACAGCACCTTAGGCCTACAGCCTCTGTAGCCAGGACAGCAGCTGGAGGATTGACCCTGCTTCAGTTTTCTTCTCCAATACACAACAACTCGGTGGAAAAACCCCAGGCAGAATCCCACTCTCACCATTACAGCGAAAAACACAATTGATGTAACATATCCTGTTTGTATTATTTACAGAAGTAGGAGTCATAGCACAGCCCAAGTATGGATGTTGCTAGACTGCCATCACCCAAGTATATTCATTTGGACAGGGGTTGCAAAATAATTATGCTAATTACATGCAGAATTAATCTTTGCAACGTCTCAACTAATCTGTTTCTTTACATCACTGTGGGGTTTTTTTTATTTTGTTTGGTTTTTGGTTTGTTGGGTTTTTTTTTAAACAAACCAAGTAGAATGTTTTTATTGCCATTTTTGAACAGGACACAAAGCACTTAATTTCAGTACAATGTTGGCCAGCAATCCTTTAGTAACAGCTTTAATAATAACATCAAGAAGAACTAATGATGCTAGAGAAAAATCTGCCTTTATTAGGTCTAATATAAGCCCTTGCCTTCAAAGGGCACAGGACAGCTTAACAGATGCCTTCAAAGCAAGAAAAGATAAAGGAAGTGAGACACAAAATACTGAAAAAAAAAAAAAAGCTCATAATCAAACCTCATTCCTTGCAGACAATCTGAAAGTTACTTCAGAGGTTTAAACTTCAGACCTTAACTGCTGCTTCTGGATCTTTTCCTACTCCTCCTCTAACTATGGTTGCCTTTACTTTATATTCTTTTTTTCTCCTCCCTTATTTCCTTCTCCATGTCAAGAAAGATGGTTTTTCAGTGGTAAAATGAGAGTAAGCAAATAGTAGTAACATACATATTTCTGGTCACATACTCCAATTCCATATGTAGTCTTTTACAAGTAACATTGCTGAAAATGGTAAAATCCCAGACTACTGAAGCTAGAAATAAGCACACTTGATAAGTAAGAATTCCATGAAGGGGCCATCCTCCAGGAACTCTGTCACATGTGTGTCATTCGGTGGCCTGTATGTGAAGTGACACATTCTAGCATTTATTTTTAGCAGTTATTTCTAGAGAGAGAAACACAGCATGTTTCAGTGCTGAAACTAAGACTGAACTCATGAAACCGGTATGACAAAAATCTCAGCTTAATGTAGAGAATATGAATGACTAGTGTGCATTTATGAGGACACTGAATAGTTACGGCCTTTGCTGTGTCCACTGACTGTCCTTGCTTGGACAATGTTTAACTGCAAAGGCAGAGGAACCAAAGGGGAGATGAAGTAGGCAAAAATGCCTTTCAAAAGTCTGTAAAGTAGGTAAGTGAAAGCTGAAGCCTGCACCCAGTTCTTCAAAACAAGAACATGCTTTTGCCTTGTAAAAAACCTGCTGTCTCCAAAGCTGATTCAGCAACAGGATTCAAAATTAAACTTCACAAAAACCAGCATGTCTATCCTACTGCAAATTAACTAACTACCCATCCGTTCCTAGAGAAAAATCTAAAATCCTCTAAAGCCCACAAAGCCTTCAACTGGTCTTGTAAAAATTCTATGCACCTACATGGAAGACAGTTGTGGACTTTTCTAAACTACTTGGCAAAATAATGTCACTTTTCTATACAGCAGTAGTCAATCGCAAGGAGATTTTTATAAATTCACTTTGTAAAATGGTCAAAATTCTACTCAAAAGGCATTTTCTCAAATACCTACTCAACCGACCCAAGGGATGCATACCAAGAGAAGAAAAATTCTAAATCACCAAGCATGGCATGATTTTTCTAGCAGAACAGCAGCTGCAGGTATTGCACTTACGTTCACATTTAGGGTCAAATCACTACCTCTCATTCTGTAAAAACATCTTTTCCAGCAGAGCACTGTATGTAAACACAGAGCAAAGAACAAACATCTGCTTTTTGTTGAGGAATCATGCCTATATTGTATATTATCATGCACTTATAACAGCATTCATTTCAAGACATGATATGAAAATATTTTACTTAGAGGGGAAAAAAGTATAAGTTCAGCTGTCTAGTTACTGATAGTTCCTGAGAAGAGGAAGTCATTTAATTCCCAAGAGGGAATGGCAAGAAACCTTAGACAGTCAAAACCTCTGACCATGTAAGTGGTGTCAGGCACCTTTTAAACCTGATGCTTCTTCCTTCAGATTTTCAGCACCGCCTAACCAAAGATGCTGACAAAGCAAAACAAATCCTCTCTGTTCCCCACATCTGTAAAGATGGATTTTTAGGAGAATGCAAAGAATCCTCAGCTCAAAAAAAAAAAAAAAAAAAAAATTAAAATTGTTTCTCTACCTACAGATCCTTGCTTTTATGACAGAAACATGTTATTTCCCCAGCTCGGCACAGTTCCACAGTTTCACACTCTCCTCTTTTTGCAAAGCAAACCCTACCTTTCACAATCTCTAAAGGTTTCCCCATGAAGACTGTGACTGCACAGCAGCATCATCCTGAGGCCGAGGGGAATGGGGGGGACACTGATCTGCCTTCAAAAGCTTGGCTCAGGTAACCCTGCCCTCAACCAAGCCTGTATAAAACAGGCTGTCTGCAAGGCTTCGAGACCTCTGCAAGACTTCCAGGGCAGGGGGTAAGATCAACAGCCCAGCAGGCAGGATCACATGCAATCTTGGTTCCCCTGCCACAATACAAAGCTCTCCTCATGGCCTTAAGACAGGAAATAAAACAACTGGTAATCTTGCTATTTCATTTTCAATTTTCAATTGCCTTCACATACCCAAAAGAAAAGCAATATAGATTTTAAGTGTAGTATCCTGCAGGGTAAATAGCAGAGGGGGGAAAAAAAGTACTCTCTGTTCTAATATTGCCTGTAAAGTTCTCCTTCCTCCTCTTCACAGGCTCCTGAAGGAGTACAAGAGTGACAGGAGCAAATGTACTTCCCTAAATAATAGGGAACCCAAGCTCTGCCCCTTGATTCTAGAAGGGAACTATAAAATGTAGGTAAGGAAGAAGAAAAGAGATGACACAACACAATCAACTATTAATGTGTCACAAAGCATCATAGATTTCCTCCAAAATGAGGTCACCATGGATGGGGAAAACCAAGATATTTTTCAATTATAGTAAAAAATATACCAGGACATGGACCTAATTTATTAAATCAAAGCTTTAACCCTCTGGCCTTTACAATCCTTCAGCTTCAGTGGATTATTCTGCCTCACCCTTAACTTCCTTAACCTTTACAACATCTTCTAAGTGGTATTGGCTGTTTGCTGTCCCATATCTTACATGGAGCTTTTCAGGGTCACCTAAATACACCCAAGTAATCTGGGACAATCCTGGACCATAACAGCCTCGCTTACACTGAACAAATTCTAGTGTCATAAAAAATCATAGCAGTCATGAAACCAGATTACAGGTTCTCTTTCAGTACAACTGATATTTTTAACAGCAACTCAAACAGGTTTGTGAGGCTGTGATTCCAGTGGCCTAAGGGCAATGTTTGAAACATCGAGATAAAAAAACACAGCTGACAAAGTATCTTATTAATGAGTGATTTTTTTTTTAAAGATATCTGGGTAAATAAATTTTTATAGGTACTTTATGAGATTTTTCAAAGGCAATTAGACAATTAAAATGAGACAGCTAGGTACAGAGGTGCCAGGAAATTCCTGGAATGCATTTTAATACTTTCAAACATCTGACTTTTAATGTAAGAATACTTTTAACCACTGTATTGCTGAATTTGCTTAGTTAGCTGTAAAAAAATTACGACCATTGTTATCAGATCTGGCAGAGACAGAGTTAATTTTCCCAATAGCAGCCCTCACAGTGCTGTGCTTTGTACTGGTAGCTAGAAAGGTGTTGATAACACAGCAGAGTTTTGGTTACAGGTGAAGAGTGCTCACATAGCATCAATGCTGTCTCTCCAACATTCCTCACTATCACCAGTAAACTGGGGGTGGGCAAGATTTTGGGAGGAGACATAGCCAGGACAGATGACCCAAACTGACCAAAGGGATGTTCCACATCATATGATGTCTGTTCAGGGATTAAAATAATAATAATAATAATAATAAATTCTGAAGACCCGCTTCCCAGGAAGCAAGCAGCTGGACATCACTCGCTGATGGGAAGTAAAGAATAAAATCTTCTGTTCTCCCTTGCTTCCATGTGCATGACTTTTGCTTTTGCTTTATTAAACTGCCTCTTGCTTTCCCCCATGAGGCTTTACCCATCTTATTTTCTCCCTCCCTTGGCCAACCCACTGAGGAGATGAATGATAGAACTGCTTGGTGGGCAACTGGAATCCAGCCAAGGTCAAACCCACCTCCACCCCCCCATCTATGCACAAACAGGCTCTTTCATAATAATGTTAACACACATTTCATCACAGACCACGGTGCACAATCCTAGCACTGCAAAAAAGTAAACATGTTGAATTATTTCAAAATATCACTCCACTTATCTGCAAATAAAGATCAAAAGGGCAGTAACAAGAAGGCTGCAGTATTTTTGCTTTTACTTCTTTAATTTTAAGCAGACTTTCTCCACCTTAAAGGAATAGATTCACGAGACTTATCAACACCCAGGAGAGGTCCAACTCCAGCCAGAGGCAGGGGAAAGGTGCCACAGTCCCAGCCAAGTCATTTGACAGATGGGAGCACACAGTGATACAGGGCACCAGAGCCCCGTGCAGCCTCGCTGATGAACCACGAATCTGAACACTGCCAAGCGCTGCCGGACAAAGGTACCGCACTTAACATTTCACCTTAAAAGCTCTGCTACACACAGCAACAGAAAATCCACCGTGCACCAGATCTGCTGCTGTGCTCAACAAAGAAGGGATGCAAGTCTAAGACACAGTTCTTGTCGTTTTTACTCACAGCCTTGGACTCTTGAGCAGAAAAATATCAACTCGTGCAACTTCAGACTATAGCATTTCAATGATAACAAGTGAAATCTGATTAATCCTGTAGTACGAAGAACAGATTTTTCTGCTTCTGGTTTGTCCTAACACAGTATCAGAATATCATAGAATACATCTAAAGTAACAAATTAAGTATGTACGAAAATTACGTAACAATGGTTGACAACACCTGTATTTTAGTACAAGGTCAGAGGATATTCTTGTCAGGGCATTCACTGTAACAACTGGAGGAGAATTTTTAGAAACAGCATTACAGTATCAACTCCTTCATTTTCACCCAAACAACTAGAATGTTCTTCCTGCCCTCCTCCTTCCCCCCTCCCTCGCACTTTGACTGCATGAGAAAGGACAACCAGAAAGTCAGCAGCTCTGTCATTCTGCATTGCAGTATTAACACTGGACAGAAAAAAAACTTGCACAGAAGATCTGGACATGCTGTTCTGATTTAAAGGCTGAAATTTTACCAACAGGCTTATATTGACATTTAGAAAGCAACAAAGCCCATGTGCTGCTTCTGAAATAACATGTTAATATAGAACAATAGAGAAAGATACCTTTTCAGTACCAATCTAACTACCCATGTGCAGGACCACGTCCAGCCCTGGTAATCAAGCACAAGACCCCTCTCTGACACACGATGTTCAGTTATAATGCATCCACTTCATTTTAAGTAACAATAAGTTAATTGTTTTCAGCATTTTGCAAATACCTGTCCATGTATCAGACTCTTCCCTCTTAGTTATGTCACAGCAGTTTTGCAAACTAACTTCTTGAGACAGACAGGAAACAGCCGGGGCATATTTGCAACTAAAGCAGAACAGCATCAGTTTGATCTGTCTTTGTTGAAGTGCTGTTTATTATTAACGTATGGCTGACAGGATCTTAGGAAGGTAGCAATTTAGCTCTTTGTGATCTGCTAACATTCCTCACTTAGGAATGACATGGACAAATAACATGTATAACGCTCCCCACAGCTCTCAACAAACCACTTTTTTTAAGAGGTTTCCAAACCCTGTATCCATTTTATTGAGGAAGAACACATCCTGTTGAAAGATTAATTATGTGGTAGTTTAAAATAATAGTATCTATTCTAGACCAACAGCATTCTGGGTTGTTTTAAATATCTTCTATAGTTATTTTACAGGAAGCAGTGTGAGAATAGAAATACATATAATAAAAAATAATTTCACTTATTGACTATTTCACTCTACTATTAACACACAAAATATCTTGGAGATTAATCTCCATCTAACATTGCATGTTCTAATCAATTAACACTAACACCCTACAAGAGAACGTACTGATTGAAAAGGGAAAAAAAAGAAAACCAGAAGAACGAATCCGTGCCTCGGTAGGATGCAGGTAACTTAAGTTCAGATTAACTTTTAAAGTCTAGATTAACCTAGAGCCGCCTCACTAATGCCTACGATAATAATCAAACCACAAGCGTCATCGGTGCGTTACTTTAGTCCGAAGAAGAAGACAAAGAGCAGCGCTGAGCAACACACCCCCCAGCTCCGGCGCCGCAGTGCGCCCAGCCCGCCGCACCTCGCAGCCCGCACGGACGGACGGACGGACGGATGGATGGATGGATGGATGGACAGTGACCGGGGGCTCCCCGCAGGCCCCGCGGGAGGGAGGAGGCAGCGCCGCGCCCCCGGGCCCGCCCCGTCCCGGTCCTTACATAACGCGGAACCCGCAGGGCCGCCCCAGGCCAGCGCTTTGGGCTGGGACGTAAATAAATAGAGCCGCGGGCCAAGCCGCTGCCAACGGGGACAGCCCGGCCCGGCCACCGCCTGCTGCCTTCCCCAGGCGCGGCACCCCCGCCCCGCAGCACCGCGGCCGCCCCTCTCCCCGCCTCCCTGGCACACGGCCGAGCTGCTCCGAAGAAGCTGCGGCCGATGTCCCGCTTCCCAAGCCACGCGGTCTTCCCCCCAGCTCCCCTCGGGTCGCAACACACCGGACTGACAGCCCGCGGGACCGCCTTTCTTTCTCCGCGCCCTCCCGGCACCGCGGTACCCGCCCGGTGGTGCCGACTGGCCTGGGCACTCGGTGCCTTTGTGCGGGGCTGCGGGCGGTGCCGGCCCGGGCTCCCCGATGCCTTTGTCCCCCCGCCCCTCCTCGCGGGGCCGCCTGAGGGCGCGGGGCAGGGAGGGCAGGGCGGGCCGGGCGGGCCGGGCCGGGCAGGGCAGGGGGCGGCGCGGCCCCAACCGGTTCCAGCCGCCCCCGGCTCCGACCACGAGGGGCGGGGCCACAGCGCGGCGCACCACGTGACCGAGCGCCTGAAAGGGCGTCACACGCCGAAGCTTCGGCCCCGCCCTCCCCGGCCCCAGCCAATTGGAGCGCGGGGTTGAGATCGCGCCTGTTCCTCGACAGCGCGGGCGGGGCCTGAAGGGGCGGGGCGTGCCCAAGGGGCGGGGCCAGGGCGGCGCGGTGAGTGCGCGGAGCCGGGGCAGTGCCGGCTCCCCGGGACAGCGGGGGATGAAGGAGGCGGCTGCGGCCGCCTCCGTATGGGGCGGGGGAGCAGATCTCTGCCCTGCCCACCTTCCCCCAGGGCCAAGGACTATCCTCCCGATACCCTTCCTCAAGACCAAGCGGCACCGCTCCCCCTACCAGCTCTCCCGACACCGTTGCGCGCACCGACCTCCTTCAGCCTCCGCACCTTCCACAGCGGCGCGCACCGACCGCCCCCTTGCCGCCACCACCACCACACAGCCCCAGCGCACCCCTGCCGTCGCCGCGGACTGACCTGGCCGAGCGCTCGCTGCGGGGCTGCAGTAGCGGCGCTGCCCGGGCTCCCAGTGCCGCCGCCCGGGCGCGGTGGCAGCGCGGGCGGCGTGGCCTTATGACCGCTTCCAGCTGCCCCGGGCGAGCCGGGGGATGGGGCGGGGCGGGCGGTGACCCACGTGACCCGCCCCGGGCGATACGTCACCGCCCGCGAGCCCGGTGCCGCCCCTTTCCCCGCCAGCCAATGGGGAACGAGCGGGTGGGGCGGGAATGGGCTGCGCTGTTCCCTGGAAAGCTTTGGCGCTGAGGGAGGAGGAGAAGGCAGGGAACGGGAACTGTGAGAGTCAGGGGAGAGCTGAGGGCTGGGAGCTCGGCAGGGGCCCCGCTGACATTTTTAAGCCCTGTGAGGACACGTTACCTCAGTCTCCGTCCTCAGTTCCCAGCCTGGGAGCGGGAGGGCTGCCCTGAGGACAGGCAGCCTTCTCTCCCTTGAGGCATCAAAGAGGCAGGCAGCCTTTCGTGAGGGGTTTTTTGGTCTCTGTGGGTTTAATGGTGACCCTCTACGTCTGCACGTGTTTTTCACCTGTGCAGGTGTCTCAGCCCTGCCAGCAAGTTGCAATGCTCCATTACCCACTGAAATGTGGGGTGTCAGCAGCCAGTGTCCCCTGCCCCACGCAGAATCACAGAATATTCTGAGTTGGAAGAGACCCACAAGGATCACTGAGTCCAGCTCTTTAAGTGAATGGCCTGTTCATGGGACTGAATTGTGACCTTGGTGTTATTAGCTCTGAGTCTTAACCAGCTAATCTCAGGATCACGTGCCTGTCCTCCCAGCACCCCTGCAGCTGGGCAGGCTCTTGTCTCATTCTCTGCACACATCTGGCTGCCCACATGCCCATCCACACAAGCGAAAGGGCTGTCATTCATGGTACAGCTAAAAGCATGCCTTCACAGCGATGGTACCAAGGCAGGTCAATGTGGGAATGCCCATGCTGGAGTTTGGAAGAAGCTCCAGGCAAAGTTCAAGTGTGATACTTATATTTGTTTTCAGGGCAGATGAGACTGTCCAGTGAAGACCCTGGGGAGACTTGCTGCACTAAAACATAGTGTTGTGTTTGGGGCCACAGCCCTGTGGCCTTCCTGAGACCTAATTTTCTGACAACAAGGGTAGCCCATTGGAGTTCAGCCAACAAAGTCTTAGCAGATAAAGGCAGAGGAAAACAGTTTCCCTTTAGGGAGGGTCTTGTGCTCTGTTTTGTAGCTAAGCTGTGAAGTTGAGACGATTTCACTATTCTTCTCACTCTAATAATAAGCTTGCATAAATAGCTTGATAAGTAACTTGCTTCTGCTTTATACAACTGTCATCTGACAAAGAAGCTGTCTTTTGGGTATGCAGAGAAACCATTTGTCTTCTTTTGCACTGGAAGTTAGTGCCATTGCAAGAATGCTCCTCTATGTTGTCCTTCCACCTCTCATTTAAAGAGAGGGCTATTTTCCATTCGTTTATCCCCTACAAGTCTAGCCATGTTTATAAGTAATTTGTGACACAGCCCTAGGTGTTGCAGCGAAAAGGGATGTTAATGTCAGGTGTTCTACATCAGAAAAGCGTTCAATGCTTCTGAATTGCTGAGGTCTGTATGTGAGTGTTGCAACATCAGAGTACTCTGCTTAAAGGAAAGAAAGGTAGGGAAAGTTATGCAGTAAAAGGAAATGATGATAGCTGAAAGCAGTTAATTTTGAAGTGAAAAATATAAGAGGAATTCCTCTGGGTAAACACGGATGTGAATTACTCTAGTTACGAACCTTAGTATTTAAGTAAACATTAGGAGCTATCATTTCCACTGGTGTATTCAGCCGTGAGCTGAAGAAAGAGGATGAAGAAACTTTAGGGAAAAGCATTAGTATTTAGAAAAGCAGTTGGCTGCTTATTTTCTCTTCCCTGTTTTTAAGATTTTTTTAGTTCAAGAAATTTGTTGTAAAGCTGGGATAGAATGGAACACTTTCAAACATGTTTTGGCATGTTAAATTTTTCAAAAATGGGTCTGTGATATCATGCCAGACATATTATAAAATTGTACCCTTAATTTTTTGTTAAAAAACTAGAAGTGTAACACCTGGTTTCGTTCAACACTAGTGTAAATTTCAAAAAAAAAGCTTGTATTTTGTCAAAGCTATTATTGCATTTCCTACCATAATTCATTATAGCTAAAAATGACAATTTAGACCCTAAATAGATTAAAGAAATATTCATGTGTTCATTTTATTGATGAACATCTCCTTACTTCTTCACTAAGGTAAGAGAAGCTCATCTAATCAGCTCAGTTGAAAGGCTTAGAGAGTTCTTTTTCTCCTTGTAAACTTACGTGGTTGATTTCAGCTAAAAGCTGACATTCTGTCAAATAAACCATTTTTTAATTCTTCAGGTAAATAAAAAAGTAGCATATATTTATTCATTTGGAAAAAATGTTAATAGGATTTTTTGTGCTGCATTTAGAGGAAACAGCTGATTCTGAATAGCATGATTTGTCATGGCAACTTTTCAAGGACTAATTTTCTCTTTAAAGATAACTCACATTTGTCAAAATCAGAGATTATGTTCTTCGTGGCTCATTGATAAGGCTTTTCCACTGCGCTGCTTCTTGGTCTTCCTGAATAAAACAAAAGCAGCTAATTAGGAATATTGATTAAGCTTGGAGCTAAGTGTAGAGCAAGTAGGAAAAGGGTGGGATGGAAAATACTGATCTATGTTAGCTTACTCAACCTGAAAAAAGTCTGCATTTAATGAAGCCTGCTAGGGTACTTGTTTATCTCCTCCTCCTCGAGGAGTTGCTTCAGTTTGGTCAGATGAGATAAGGTCAGAATTTGCCATGACGCAGCAGGCAAGTTGCAGCTGCTCCTTAAGGTGATATAAAGCTCCACAGTAATCAGAGCACATAGATGAGTTTATAGAACTCTTCTTAAATATCTGTCCAAAAAGTTAAAATTGGTGGTTTGCTTTCCTTGTTTACATAGGGGAAAAAAAAACAAAACTGAACAAAAACAAAACAAAGGAAGTTGGGTTTTATATCATAAAACCTGCACTGAGTTAAGGTGCTGCTGGCAAAAGTCCCAAAAAGATCCAGAAAGACAAGGTTAGAAGGTTACAAAATCTGTATCAAACTCTATTTAAGCTACATGTGCACATGCTGGAAAGCATGTTTTCTTCTTCAATAAGAGTTAATAAGCTTGATAAGAGTTGCTGGTACTTAACCAATACTGCCTGGCAAAATGTTTTGTCTTCATTCTGGCAATGATACTGTCGTGATGAAGTCCCTGAGCAGGAGCGAAAGAGCTAGAAGATACATGCTAAAAAGATGCTAGAAGTTGAATGCTGCCTCCCCAAACACTGTGAAAGCTGCCTTATAACTGGGTCTTGCTCCCAGCCATGGCAATGGGGTATGAAGGGGGTTGCAGGTGTTGTGTGCCATAGGCAGAGTATCAAAGGAGCACTGAGGCTGCACTAGTTGAGACGTGAAGACCAGTGGAACTTATGCAGCCTGGTTTTTATAAATAAGAAGATGAACACTTGCCTAAGTGCTGTAAATAAATGGTTGAGGCTCATGTATGCAATACACTAGCAAACTTATACTAAAGAGGCACTAGGAAATGCCTTCAAGGTTTTATGTCCACTTCTGTAGCCAATATAATATTTTCTTCAGCTGCCAGAATTATAGATTCAACCTATAATCAAGATTCATTGATATTCCAATGTAGTAATAAAGATTGTGAACATCAAATTACAGCTGTGCCTCTTCCTCTTTCATAGTATGAATTATCAGTTCCAGTGATCTGCTTTTGCTGACACCAGGGCTCACAGCTGATGAAAGCTGTATATTGAGATAAACTGTGCTCCCTGTTTTACTGCACTTAATTTTTCTGCAGTTGTTTTCAGTCTGGTGGGTTATTGTGAGCAAAAATAGCTCATAAAATGATGCAACTGATGGCCTAGCATTAGGCATGCAGTATTGCATTAATGTTTTTTAATCTTTTTGTAGAATCACTTATACTTGAAAATGCACTTCTGACCTTTCCTTTGGCGCTGAAAATCTTGTTGTATCATCACCTAATGAGAAATCTGGACAATTTATAGGCACTAAAGGAAAGCGATGCTGAGAGACTGGAAAGCATCAAGCAGGAATAAAAATTACAAGACAGTTAGATCCATGATCTTAGCATGGCAAAAGCCTCTCACCCTCAGAGAAAGGATTATTAGAAAAAGGCCCATGTAATATATTTTTCTCTGTGGGCAAGTTAGCAGTTTGTCAGAGAGCATAGAAACACATCAGAGAACTGGGTGATAGGAATTAAGCAAGAAGACAAGGTTGTGCCTAAAACTTTTAAAATGCCTAAAGTGGGGAAGCCTAGAAGGTAAGCAGAAGGTAGAGAGGGAGAGGTGGAATGCTACTCGAGATTGGCAATAGCTCAGATTTCTCTGACTAGGGGAGATTATTGCCTAATGCAAAGACTGGGTTTGCTGATAGCAAATGCAACAACGTGTGTGATGGGTTGACAGACTGGATGGAAAGGATACCATCTAGAGGGACCCTGACACGCTGAGAGGTGGGGCTGTGCAAACCTGGTGAGGTTCAGCAGGGCCAAGTGCGAGGTCCTGCACCCGGGTCAGGAGAATCCCAAGCACAAACACAGGCTGGGTGGAGAATGGATTAAGAGAAGGCCTGAGGAGAAGGACTTGGTGGTGTTGGTAGACGAGAAGCTCAGCATGACCCAGCAATGTGCACTTGCAGTCCAGAGAGCCAGATATCCTGGACTGCACCAAAACCAGCATGGGCAGCAGGTCAAGGGAGGGAATTCTACCCCTCTGCTCTGGTGAGATCCCTCCTGGAGTACTGTATCCAGATCTGGGGTCTCCCAACAAAAAAAGGAAGAAGCCCTTGTTGGAACAAGTCCAGAGAGGGCTGCAAAGATGCTTAGAGGGCTGGAGAACCTCTGCTATGGAGACAGGATATGAAAGCTGGAGTTATTCAGCCTGGGGAAGAGAAAACTCCCAGGGGACTTTAGAGTCCCTTTCAGTACCTAAAGGGGCTACAGGGGAGCTGGAGAGGGACTTTTTATGAGGGCATGTAGTGATAGGGGGAGTGGTTGTAAACTGAAGGAGGGAAGATTTAGACTAGAG